TTTTTTTCATAATCATTAAGGTCTCAGGAAGCTGTTCCTAAAATATTATAGCCCTGTAATGCGTATTTGTCGAGTTATTGGGTCGCAAAGTCAGTTTGATGACAATTTTCGCTTCCGGAACCACCTCAAAAACGGTCGTATTCAACGCCGCAGCACGCGAGAACCGCACCAAGTAGCCCGGCCATTTTGGTCTCATTTTAAGACACATTTTTCTATTATCTGTTCCTAGCAGAAGAACGTTTTTCGTCTAGCAACAACGCAGCTATCGCACCTAAAGAAAAACTGAATACTCGCACATCATTGGTGCGTTTTTGTCACGTGGGGCAGTTCCCGGTTTCCTACTGAACGCAAAGGGATTCGTCTGCTAGACAGCGGCGTGCAAGCTGCCATTTTGTGTAGAGGCCTAACAACGGCTGTGCATTCCGTGCAATGGCTGGCGGTCATCGGAAGTTCCGGAGTGCTCATGCGTTCGGAAAAAGGCGAAAACGGCGTCCGAGAGCCCGCACCTTATCACCAGCGAGAACTCGGAAGAAGCAGGCTGTGCCAGCGCTATCACCGCCGGGGCACCCGCGATCGCGGACGCGTCCCAAGATCACACGAGAGCTGTGCGCGTCGACTCTCCCCTGGTTTCCGACGCTGAAAAAGTGGCCGTCGAGTGTCGTGCGAGCGATGTTCTGCAAGATCTTTCATCGAAGTCTGCCACAAAGCGCAAGCGGTCTTTTTTTTTTCGAGACTCGGATGGAGCCGCAACGCCTGGTACGCAGTTCACCGCCGTTAGCTTAGAGTTGGTCAACGAACTTCTTCAGTGTATGAAGTGCGGTGTGTGTGGCGGGCCTGGCAGAATCTCCAAGGAAGACCGCGAATATGGCATAGCCGTGAAACTTGTTCTCACATGTGACGAGTGCGGTAAACTGAGGACCGTATGGAGCTCGCCGAGAGCAGGGGGGGACGCAGCGCACGGCCCCTTCGAAATTAACGTGCTCGCGGTTCGCGCGGCAATGAGCACAGGAAACGGGCAAACTGCGCTCAACGATATTTTTTCCGCCCTAAATATTTCACGGAGAGGCCTGCACACCAAGACATACCAGGATTATGTGAAATTGAAAATGAACCCTGCCGCGCGCGTTATTGACGACTGCGCGAGCACCGTGAAAACGGTGTATTCCGAACTCTACTATGGAAATCCTGAAAATATCGCCGTTTCCTTTGATGGGACTTGGCTGACCAGGGGCCACTCATCCCATATTTGTGTAGGGACCGTGATTGAACTATTCACGGGTTATGTGCTCGACTTTGATGTCCTATCAAACTTTTGTTTGGGCTGCTAGCTAGGGCCGAAGGAGGACAACCCAAGGTATGCCGAGTGGCTAGCTGGTCACACTTTCCAAAAGAATACCTCTAGTAAGCCAGGACAAATGAAGGTGGAAGCAGCACAAAGTTTATTTGGCCGCTCATTGGAGAGACATGGGCTCCGCCACACAACCATGTTGTGTGATGGAGACAGCCGGGCCTTCAACAGTCTGCAGGAGGCACAGGTATATGGCTTCGTGCCAATAGAAAAAGAGGACTGTGTCAACCATGTGCATAAGCGCATGGGCACAGCACTTCGAAACCCCCTACAAAAACAAAGAGCCGAAGGAAAGTCAAGCCTTGGTGGCAAGGGCAAACTGACAGGCGAGCTGGTCACAAAGCTCACGTCATATTATTAATGGGCTTTACAAAGCAACCAAGGAAGCATTGAGGCCATGAATAATGCTGTCTGGGCAACCTTTTATCACATAGCATCTACTGATGCAAGCCCTCAGCACTATCACTGCCCAACTGGTGAAGAGTCATGGTGTAAGTACAACAAGGCTGTTTCCAAGCAGGAGACTCCTTTGAATCATCGCTACAACCTGCCGGAGTATGTGGTTAATGCCTTGCAGCCTATTTACACGCGCCTCTCTGACAAGAAATTGCTGGAGCGTTGTCAGCGAGGCAAAACACAAAACCCAAACGAGAGCCTGCACTCTGTCATCTGGTCGCTCGTGTCCAAAAACAAACACGCGTCGTTTTTCACCGTTGAAGCTGCTGTGGCCGAAGCTGTCGCAAGGTTCAACGCTGGCAAAGGCAGAGCAGATGCCGCCATATTGAAGGAGCTGCACCTGCAGCAGACTGTTGTGGCCGCTGAAAGATGCTCAGAAAAGAACAGTCGCTGACTAGTGGCATCGGAGAAGAAGCATGAGCATGCTGAAAACTTCAAGCATGCCATGAAAAGAAAGCGCACCAAGGAGAATGATGATGACTACATTCCTGGTGGCTTCTAACATGGTTAATACACCGATTCACACCTTTTCTTGTTAAATATAAGTGCTCAGCATGTTCCTAAGCTTCTTTTCTCGTTTTCTCAAAACAACATTTTTCATCACACCATAAGCCATTGCCCACAGTATCTTTTGATGTAGCAGTCGGATTTTGATAATTCTTGCAGCATTTGAAAGCTTATACATTGATTAGTGCAAGAAAACAAAAAAAATGTAATATTTTTATTTATAATAGTGATTTAATTAGCAACAAACTTAAGCAACAGTTTCAGATTTCTAATGAGTATACTTGTTAAGGCCATAACTCTGGTACCAATGAAGCTAAAAATAAAATTATGGTTTTGTTGCACTCCCTGGCCTTCATGGAATGCTGTCATATCAAATTTGTAGCAATATTTTATGAGGAAGATGTCAAAAGGCTGGGCAGAATGCAAGTTTATGTAACAGCCAATATTTAAAAATCTAAAAGTGATAGCAAAAAAACTAATTGCATATTTGTTTTCAGCTGTGAAAAATACATATTGTATTAAAATTTCAGCTGAAAATACTGAAAATTAAAAAAAAATCTTCAGACCAGTGTCTCCCCTTAAATCTCTTAACTACGAAAAGTGGACTGTCTTATATCAAATCCCTCATCAATGTTAAGCATGCAAAAAGGAGGCTACCGGTGTATGTGCACAAACTGGATGAGATTCACACTGTTGCAGTTCAACTGGAACTGTTGCACAAGAAAGTGCACGATTACTTAAGCGTACCTTACACTTGTGACAGTAGTTAGTGATGAGAAATGAATGTGTTCATTCTCAAGATGTCCATTCTAAGATTTTATCGTTTGGTGCTAGTAGAAAATTTTGCATAGGGAGCTATACAGGAATGTTTAGCAGCTTTATTTTATAGCAGTTCATAGTCACGATTGGTGCGCACCCCCGAGCAATGATGCAATCCCTTTGTGCCGCAATTCAGCGAGCTGTAATACTTGAACTGCTTGAACCATTGGCGTGAGCAATGTCCGTCATCCTCTCAGCACTCTCAGAGTGACTTGGCTAGATAGAGGCTTGGATGGAAGCCACCAATGTTGTCCACCGCAACGTCAAAATATCGTGGCTATGGCACGCAGAGCGCGGCGTGGTCAAGTCAGACCACGTCAACAAAGCAAGGGTACGCTTCGTGCCTCCAATTTCAAAGAAAAATGCTGATTCCGTGCACTGTAGCCGATAGTCCGTTGTACCACGGTCGATTAAAAGGCCACTCACCAGGCCCCATAACAAATTTTAATTAGACCATGGAAGTTGTTGTGTGTCCGGTGGTGAGCATTAATGCCACAAAACTTTTTATCAATCGGTTCATTACGAGCTGAGAAAACTTTTTTTCTTTTCAAGCGGCGTGAAACTAGGATGAGAGGGGGCGAGCTCGAAACCTTTGCTGCTCCCCCGCATAGCCTTCACAAGCCAAATCTCTTCCCTACCTTCTCTCGCATCCGATCAAGAGTTCATGTGTGCATGACGTGCACGTACAAGCCCAACAAGCGGCGGCGTTTTGTTAACCAGCGTTATTTTGTGGTCTACTGCCCGTTTCTGCGGGATGGTTTGAAAACGCTGGCTTAGACGCAGTAGAATAGATGAGCACAATGAGTGTGCGAAGGCGTAGGAGCGTTACTTTCGCTTCTACAGCTGTCGTCTGCTCGATGCACGACCGCGGGGCACATGAATGCATGCGAAATGCCGGCACATTAGCCCCGCATCTCGTAGCAAATCACGGGAAAAAAATGGGGGAAAAAGCACACATTCCTTCTTCGCGTCTCCCTATTTATCTCAAATTTGATTAATCTCTTCAAGCAACAAATTACATAAACTACGCATGTCAAGGTAAATAATTTTAGCCATGTCACGTGGCCCTATTCGCAACGTCTCTGCACAGTCATCTGGGCAGAGGACCAATGTCACTGCACTGCACTGCCGTGTACGTATGGCAATTCATACGTGCATGTCATGCTCTCATTCTCTTGGGGCGCACCCGCGAAATGAAGGGGGAGCAGTGTTCATCTTGAAATTTGACCAATTTCCGCGGCGCGTAGCATTGCAAGTCTTGGCAGATGTCATCGTGAACGCCCCATCTACGTATTGCGCTTGTCAGCTCAAAATTATCAAAACCTGGTAAGTGGCCCTTCAGAATCAAACTTTGCTTCATTAACTTATTACACAGATCAAAGTTGGGCTGAATAATGGTCCATTACATCCAAAAATATGTAGTACACAGGTCCGTTAAAATGAGCATACACTGTATACTGTACAATTAGCCATAGAAAATTCACTTCAGTCCACACTAGCTTATAACCCGAGGTCAGGTCAAGTTATGAGCTTGAGTGAACTCTATGCACAATAAAATCGTGCCTAGCATGGCACTTAACTCAAATAAACATTCTATACTACAAAGCATTACACGGCAGGCCCAGGGCTTGGAAACAAAGACCTTACATCAGAGCATTAAACATGCAAATATGACCTGAGAACTGCAGCCTCAGGACCCCAGGTGGCAAAACAGCAATCAAATTACAATGCGAAACTGCTATAATGCTGTGAATGTTAAAGGAAGCCCCCAAAATATAAAACTAAAAATGTAGTTTTATAAGAATAAAACTTAAGGGAAACACAGCTCCGTATACTAATTTACCAGAAAGTGTCATCAGGGCTTGCTTACTTGTAATCTGAAGGAGGCTTGTATTCTGAATTGATGGTGAACATTTCCTGTATGAGCACATGCCGCTCATCCTCCAATTTTTTTCGCACTCGATACTCTCGCGTGTTCAGCCTCTTTCCAGCACTGTTGTATATTGGCTCTGGAGATGGTGACCTAGAAAGAAACAAGAGGCACACAAAGTTTGTGTAGCATGATGACTGCGATCAGTCAATTAACATCAGACACCCCACAGCTCACCAACACTTCATTTTTTTTCAAGTACGCATTTTGAGAACACTTTTCGTGAATAGCCGTCCTGCCCAATACGGCAGCACAGCGGCCACCCAAAATGCTGACAATGCAGCTGTCACACAACATTCAGGCAACATCTTGAGTGGCGGTGAGTATCTGTCTAAAATTTCTCCCATAAAGGGAGAGACCAACTATGAATAAAAATTACTACACTTGCAAATTTAATGCATACGCTCACACAAGTACACATGCTGCAAACAGTCTAGTTAAATGCTTTTATACACACAATAGAAATTTGTTACGCTGCTTTTATGATCTTGACTTAACTATGCGAAAGAAGGAAAAATGCGGAGAACATCACTCATAAATTTTTTTTATATATATAATGGATGCTGAAAACGAAACAATTAGGTGGCCTACAAAAATTCATAAGGCAACAGCTGGTTAGACAGCAAACTGCTCAGGAAAAAGAAAAGGGCAACATTGTTCTGGTGTAGGTTTTCAGTCCTGCTGAACTCTTTTGCAAATGTGAATATGTAAGCCTCAGTTTCTGTCATTGATAGAAAATTACAACTACAACATTGCATAAATGAGAAAAACAGTGCTTACACAAATTAGCTTGCTTAATTTACTTAAATGACAAAGTGGCTCAAGTTTACACAATTATGTATATTTCCTTTTAGATGAATTATTGGCTTTACATGAAAAACCAAGAAAAGCCTTACATGTGTCTAAAGGCAATGCATTTGTTTCTGTCGCAGTCCAAATGCCATTATAGAAACATTAACCTATTTTTGAATAAGCTATTATTAGTAGTGCTGAGTTTAGATTAATATACTATGGTATAATTAAAATTATAAAGACTTTTGTTGTACCCTGCACTGCCATTTTGCAAAACAAGAACCTTTTCCTATTCCAAACATTCACTGCTTTCCAAGCCACTTGGTATATGTCCCCTTCAGCAGCAGCGTGTACAATTGTAAACATCAAATTTAGAGGCACATCATGCACCGTTTGTTTATTAAATAGCTTGAAACGGGGTGCGCACATTCGTGCAGGCTTCTCGAGTGGATAAATACCGGTCATTTAGCTTTTTTATGCTGCATAATGCTGCAGAGGATCACTTTGCTGGCAACACTACCATGTTCGACGACCAGCTGATGTGCAGTGTTCCAGGAACCACGGCAAAAAGCAATGGCAATGCCATGCACCAAGAATTTTTTTCCTTGCTTAAAACAAATGCAACAAAAAATTAATTGCAATTTGGCCTAATATTTCATTTTATGCAAATATTAATGCTGGCTAATTAAATAATATTTACATACTTAATTACATGGTAATTGACATTAATTAGGAAAACTTACGCAAAACAAAATATTTCTTCATTTTCTTTCTTAGAATGTAATACTGAGTGCCTTGGAATCATGCCGTGCGAATTTGACGCATTTGCAGACAGTAGATCATAATTTGCGCCCGAAGGAGATATTGCCCATTGACGTAACGTGATTTAACCATTAAAATGTAAGCACCATAATATTCACAAACGCTGCAATTGAACTCCAGCATAGCTTGCATGCATCACTAGCACCTTCAGCCATATTTAAAGCTCCTGTGCAATCATGTGGGAGGTGGCAACGTCATGCACCAATTTTGTTATTAGATATAGGAAAAAAAAGGTCCTGGGTACGATAACAAGAATGAGCAAGCAATAAGAGAGTGGCTTGAAAATGTGAACATTCGAAATGCTTCATGACCACTAGATCATATGAAAGATGAATTCCACTGGTCTAAGCATTACCTCATTATACTCCATTTCACACATCAGGTGCAATCCTGTGGAAGCTATGCAAGAAGCTCTGTCAGCAAAATGTATTACTCCGCCATCTCCCGCTTGGATTTAGTCGTTGTAAACATGGCCTCCTTGATTGGCTCCAGCTGAACGCTGATGGAACTAATCGTGGAGGCCACAACCCGAAAACACAGATGTGCTTAGCGATTCTGAAAATCTATTGACAACTGCGTAAATGATAGTTTCCTTAATTTCTAAGACACAAAGGATCTAAATTTATTGCTCTGTCTAAAAACAAAAAAAAAACACTTCAGGTAGTAAAATCATTGAACTATGTCTTAGTGCAAGCCTATCTGGCACAATAAGTCTCGCTAGATTTCATAGCGTTGCACCTGATGTTTTGAAACGGAGTATCAATATTTTGAAAAGCACTTGAACTGCGCAGTGATTTTTTTTTAATTAAAATTAACACTATCAAACAGTTGATGTCAGATTCTAGTTTAAGTGTCATCGGAGCTAGCTACATCCAGTGGGTACACATTTCTATGCTGAGTAATCTGCCTCTTTCATCTGCCTGTGCCGATTTCTGCAACATCGGCAGGTGCCGAGATATTGGTATTGCCAGAGGCAGAGCCTCCAGGTGAGACATTTCGTAACTTTTCTACTAGGGAAAGGGTGCATGTTCCAGGGTGCCGTAAAAGAGGAGGATTAAAATGTTGCGATTGTTGTCACATACAGTTATAACAATGTCTAACGCTAGCTTGACTAAAAGAAAGTGGTCATTATACCTATAATTCATATCATCTGGAGTTGCCTTTCCTCCTCTCTACTTCCCCTAGGGGTGTGCTAATGTTCTCAAATACTGAATATGGAAGTCGTGGCTACTCTTCACTGCCAAGAAGAGTGGGAAGGCCGAAGAAGAAACTACAGCCAACTTAAGCAGGTAGTTGTTAAACACCCTGCAACCTACTCGCAAAATTATTGCGGCAGCATGTTCACATCGTACAAATGCACATTGATTGCTCCATCACAAATTTTGCACTGAAAGGTTGTTTACTGGCACTTTAAGGTATGAGAAGGCTAGCATAGACGACCATAGTGCGACAACCAATCGCCTCAATGACTAAAGAAATAGTCCCGCTGATGCATTTGGCAATGTTCTCTAAAGGTTGGATCACTAGTCGTCTGACTGATGAAGCCAGTCTAGGGTGTCCATCCACTGGTGCAGGCTCATGTGCATCCGCTTTTGAAGTGAACCTGCCGATACTTTCTTAAGTTGTACCCAACCATAGGCCTCCCCTGGTGTAGCCTAGTGACAGCATCCCTGCTCCACTAAAGGGCACCTCGTTCAATGGATTTTGTCAGTGCCCAAATGACAAGGGATAAGAAACTCGTAAAGAGGGGTTGTGTACTGGAGCCTCTAGAGATGTGCACGGGCTCCGGGTAGTCCGAAAGCCCGACCCGACCCATGGGGCGGGCTCGGGCAGCCAGACGTCTTTTCACCTCGGGCCCGGGCCGGGCTCGGGATTCCTTGTTGAATTATTGGGCCGAGCTCTGGCCTGATGAAAAGCCTGAATCAAGCCAAAAATATAGATGATGTGCCGGAATTCTCGTTGTTCAAAGGTGTGCTTTCTTTAGTGAAAAGAACTACACTTTTTTTTAAAGAAAAATATTTGTTTTGTCATAGTCGGGGTATGGGGGTTAATTACCTGAAATTCACGAATTTTAACACTAAGGGCTGAGGGAACAGCACAGATATGTACTATAAGCAAAAGAACTGGCAAAAGTTTTGTAAATGTTTTGTTCTTTATCGTGTACATTTGTAAACAAAAAAAAATTTATCGTATAAAAAAAAGAAGTTACAGGGATGTACGGCACGCTTTTTTTTAATCAAAGCATTTCAATTTTTCTGTTGCCATGTGCTTTAGTGCATCGTTCATCAAGTCTGGCCAGGTCGGGCCAGACCTTGGGTATAAGACGCCGAGCCGGGCCTGGGCGTCCCGTCCTCTATACATTATCGTGCCCTGGCTGAGCCGCGAAACTACGGCCTGTGTACATCTCTAGGAGCCTCCACACAACCGCTGTTTGCAAATTTCTCATTGCAAGCTTCCGCATTACCCTTCCTCCCTTTCTTTCAAATTACAGGGAGTATTAGACTGACCGTTGAAGTGCACTTAAAGATAAAAATCATAAAACAATAGCCTGTTAATAGAATTTCAAAGCAACCGTATGTGCATGGTATCTATGAACAATGGCACTAATTTGTCAAGCAACATGATACTTTATAAAAAGCTACACTAGGGCAAAATCTGCTTTGAAAAAATTTAATCAGAACTTAACACCTCTGCTTTACTGACACTGTTTTACCACAAACCACATCGTAACCTAGCCATGAAAGGTCACAGAAATGGTGAAAGGCAAGATGATGACCCAGTTCCCATTGAGAAAGGGCAAGGAAGGGTGATTGTATGTTATTAGCGCACCTAAATCACTTAGGAACTTGTACACGAGGTGCAGCCTGCTAGGTTAGGCAATTCATTTAACCATCCATTTAGGAATCTCCTACATTTCTGAAGGACATATTTGTTATTTCTGGGATTTAAAGCCAAGAAACTGTAAACTTACGAGGGACATCGTTATGAAAGGCACTTAAGTGCCTTGATTAAATGTTATTTACAAAGCACATAGTATAAAAGCATTTCTGCACTACACCCTAGCTTATTTTTGCCATTAACATTATTTAAATGTAATTCAGACAATTAAGTTATAAATCAATTAAAATAAATTCCACTAAACTCCTGTGCAACGACAATCAATGTTGCCATGATGTTTAGCTTGAAGCAGCTATTGCAGAAATGTTATTCTTGACACTAAATTGTTCTTTCTCCAGCATGAAAAGTATATTTACAACCAACAGGAGAAACAAAGACTGTGACACTATCTCTGTTGCAACAGTAGTTGCATACATTACAAAAGAGCTGTGGAAGTATCCTTGCAAACCTGCAGAATGTACTTCGTAATGCAACATTCTTCTGATTTTTGAAGCTTTCTGCACTAGGTCTCCAGAGAGAAAGGGCTCTATTTCAGTCCACGATTAACAGCCTGGAACTTTCAGAATGAGCCAAACTGGCTTCAATATATTTAGCAGCCTCCATAAAAATTTCTTTCGCCTCGCCGCGGTGGTTTAGGGGCTAAAGTACTCAGCTGCTGACCCGCTGGTCGCGGGATCGAATCCCGGCTGTGGCGGCTGCATTTTTGATGGAGGAAAAAATGCTGTAGGCCCGTGTGCTCAGATTTGGGTGCAGATTAAAGAACCCCAAGTGGTCGACCTTTCCGGAGTCCTCCACCATGGCGTCTCTCATAATCATATCGTGGTTTTGGGAAGTTAAGCCCCACATATCAATCAATCATCAAGAGTTTCTTTGACATAAAAAAAGAATATTTCAAGCAACAAACAAACCGTCCCCATAAATAATTATGTGGTTAATAATTTCAGAATACATGAAATTTACTGTACGGTACATTTCAGAAATTCTATTGAACTTTTTTTAATTAATGCCAATTAATGCCAATAATGTATAGGGGGTATTTGATGAAAAGAAAGCAAGACACTTTGCTGTCACCATCGTAAGAGTTTATCACTGAATATTAGTCCGTATCCATTTATGATAAAACGATGGAAATAGCTGCACAGATAACACCACGACAGAACTACGTTACCGAGAGGAGGTGACCTGTCAGAAGATAACCCAAATGAGAGCTGGTGAAACGTAGGGGGACAGGGACGTTATTGCTTAAATCAGTGCCTAAAACGACTTTAAGGTAAGCTAAAGTATTTTTGAATATTAGTGCAGCTGCTTCCACAGTGAGAAATCTGAAGCAGCTGCACCGCCCTTTGTGATTAGGATGAGCAGAAGTGGCAAGCAGGCCACCTGTCTCATCCACACCACACAGCAAGCAGCAGGGCACACCTCCCCCTCGATTACGGGAAAGTTCAAAAATAAAATAGGAAGAAAAAACAGGTTTGTTTAGCCTTTGTGATCCTCGGAGACGAGCACACACGCAGGGGGGGAAGAAAAGAGTGCATTAGATAATGCAGCCATGGGGCAGCAGCACTGGTCCAAACCTGTCCTCAGGGTTGAAGGGGATGCCAAGGTCCTCAGTGCGCAGCCTCCTGCTGAGCTCTTCAATCTGGAGTTGCACTGGAAGAGATGGGGTTAGAGAAAGAAGGGGCGGGGCCCCCCAGCAATTAAACCCGCGTTCAGCCCAACCAAAAGGGCCAGCCTGGCCTGTACACAACCCACATCCCTGGAGTCGGGCAGCGGCCAGCCGCCTCAAAGGGCAGCCCCTGCATACACACACACACACACCGCGCCGAGACATGCCAGCAGCTCAATGCGCGGTTGCCAGGAAGATGTGGTGCCATGAAGCCCAGCACACAGGGTGCAGAGTGCTGACCCTGGCCGGTGCCTCAACACCTGCTCGGCCGACATGGCACACACACACACATATACACACTGATTTCTGCTGTGAACAAGCACTGCCATTATCTGATCATAAAATGTTGCTCGAAATAAACACAATTACAATTCATACCCTGTATCAGCTGCTTGCTACACTGTGAATAACATTTGGACCCTAAGAGAAAGGTAGATAAAGGAGCAGATTCTAAAATACCCAAAAAATAACCTACCTAAACTATGCATGAAACACTATGACAACATGTTAGCGATAAAAGTTTACCTCTAATTTCAACTTCTAGAAATGCTCGAAAAAAAGCACACGTTAGGACCCTTTGCACATGTTAGCAAGAAAGAAGAGGAGGTAGGACGCTCTCAAGCGATAGTGAATCGGCAGTGACGGTTGAGCGCTGGCATTTTCAGTGTAAGTAAACCCACCACATCCATAACAGCTTTGGTGGAGCGGTGCTGAGTATTTCGCCGTCCTGGATCCCGCAGCAGAAGTTCTTCGAAGAAGCAGACGCTTAGCTGGCCTACTTCCAAACAACATCAGCATGAACAACGACACAGCAATCCCGTTGACATACTACGCTGCTGCATCCACCAGTGCCACCGACATGACACAAGGTGGCCGTCGACTTCGACAACCAGACTACTGGGCGCCTGAACCACGGGTATTCTCAGGTAAAACTGGTGAAGACGTAGATGCTTGGCAAAACCACTACAACAGATTGAGCCGCTACTACAAACGGGGCGCACCGGCGAAGCTCGTGAACGTAGCACTGTTCCTTGCCGAGACCACTTTGCTTTGGTTTGAGAACCATGAACATGTCCTCACCACTTGGGATATATTTGTCCGGAACTGAAGGCCTGCTTTGGGGACACGAGTTCTATGAAAAAGAAAGCTGAGCATATGCTGTCACGTAGGGCTCAGTTGCCCGGCGAAACGTGCACAACCTACATTGAAGAGGTACTGAAGCTTTGCAGGATTGTCAACACAAATATGTCTGACGAAGACAAAGTCGGTCATTTGTTAAAAGGCATCACTGAGGACGTGTACAATTTTCTCATAACGAAAGAAAACTTGAACACTACTATTTTCAGGCAGCAGTGTCGCGCAGTCTAGGTGTTGAAGACCCGGAGAATTTTACCCAAGTTCGGGCGCTTGGACAATGTTCCCACTGTTGCAAGTATGGACGTCGCCGCCTGCGAAGACATTCCCTTCCTCATACGTCGGGTAGTTCGAAAAGAGCTCGTACGGTTTCAAGCAGGTGACGCTCACTATCAATGCTCATTCGCCACGTGCCCCGAACCACCTCCCCATTGAATGCGAAAGCGCCACGTCGAAAACCGACCGCGCACAGAAACTGCAGATTTCACCCTGCGGCTTCCATTTTCCTCGACGGGTCACGGCCACCACCTGGTGTCATCATCTCGACGTGCCGCTGCAGACCTCTGACCATCGTCAACAAGGCCTCTACCAGAAGACTACTATGCGTCATCACGAAATGTTCCTGCAGAGCACGACCTGTCTCCGCGTACTTTTGTCATCTCTGCTCCTGCTAATGTAAGCCGACAAGTCTCCATTTGCTACACATGCGGTCTCCCAGGGCATATTTCATGCTTCTGTCCCAGCCGGCTGCCTAAGCCGCCACGTTTTCCAACGTACCCGGCTCGTATGCCCGATACGTCTGACAGCAATGGCCTAACGAATTTCGCAGTGATTCCCCCGCCTGCGAGCGAAGCCTGACGCCGCCTCCCACACCTTCCCGCCGGTTGCCATCTCCGTGTCGTCGGTCGCCTTCCCCGCATTAGCCTGGAAACTAGCTGGTGCGGCCGATGGAGGTGCGGTCGCGGGATGGTCAGTTTCACCAATTCCTCCTTCCGCTGTGATGTTGGTGAACAAAGTGCGTGTGTGTATAGACGGTGTAGATACTGTTGCTCTTGTAGACACTGGTGCTGCTATTTCGGTTAAGAGTCTTCGTTTCAAGCATTGTTTCTTGGGTCACAAAGTAATGTTCACGTGGGATCGTAAAGAAACCTTTTGTGGAGTTGGAGGCGAAGCGTTATGCCCTGTTGGTATTTGCTCAGTTGTACTCACGATTGGTGGACAAAATTTCCGAGTTGAATTCACTGTACTGGCTCGCGCAACTTATGACGTCATTTTATGAATAGACCTCCCTCATGAATGGGGCGCTACGCTTGACTGTGGAACTGGAGAGATTCTTCTACAAAGTACGTTGCCCACTGCCATAGTTGACGATTTTCCGACTTTCCCCATCGATGCGCTTTCAATGTCTGAAGATGTGACAATCCCTGGTCGGACAGCAATGCTTGTTCCCGTATGCTCTTCTCACGTCCGCTCAGGACCCTGCACTGGACTTGTCAAGCTCGATCATACAAATGTTATCAAGAAGAATGTGCTAGTCCCACGTTCTGTCTTTATAGCCATCGACGGACATGCTTGTTTGTGGGCGCTTAACGCAGCCTCAGAGCCTGTTGTTCTACCAGCAGGATTTAGACTGGGAACGTTTGAGGAGCAGGCCACAGTTAATGTCAGAATGATCTCAGTCTCCAGCCATCAGTCAGACTGCGCCCAACTACTCAGCCGACATGAAACGCAGGATCAATATGTCGTTGCCTTCTTCCAAGCAGGATGTCCTCAAGGAGGTGCTTACACCCTACGCGGGAGTCTGATTTCGCTCAAGACAAGCATTGTTCCATGTTGAGCTAATCCCGTATGCACCACCGCATCAACACGGGAGATGCTACACCGATACACTGGAAACCCTATCACGTATCCCCGTCAAAGAGGAAAGTGATCGCCGATCAGGTCAATGACATGCTGCAGAAAAGCATTATTCAACAGTCAAGCAGTCCCTGGGCAGCTCCTGTTATATTGGTAAAAAAGAAAGACAACTCTTGGTGATTTTGTGTCGACTACCGCGGTATCAACGCCGTCACAAAGAAAGATGTGTATCTGCTACCATGCATCGATGATGCTGTTGATTGCCTGCACTCGGCCGCATACTTTTTGTCTGTCAACCTAAGGTCTGGATACTGGCAAATACCAATGCATCCGTCTGACAGAGAAAAGACTGCTTTTATCACGCCAGATGGCTTATCTGAATTTAACGTTATGCTGTTTGGCTTATGTAATGCCCCAGCTACCTTCAAGCAATTCATGGACTCCATCCTTCGCGGTCTCAAATGAGAGATATGTACGCGTTATCTCGTTGATGTAATTATTTTCGGCAAGACATTCCACGAGCACAACCATTGGCTTAGCGTTGTTCTAAATTGCATCAAACAAGCTGGTCTCATTTTAAACGCAAAGAGGTCTCATTTTGGTGAGCGTCAAGCACTTGTGCTCGGATATCTAATCGACAGAGACGGTATACGGCCAGACCCGCAAAAGATCAATGCTGTCCGAGACTTCAAGCAAACAACGTCTGTGAAGGATCTCCGTAGCTTCGGGGGCCTGTGTTCTTATTTTCGCCGGTTTATCAAAGACTTCGCCCACCTTGCTCATCCTCTGACAAAGTTGCTCCACAAAAATGCCCCATTCCGATGGACCGCTGAGTGTGAGGCTGCTTTCGAGCAGCTGATGTATTTGGTTACTTCCAGGCCCCTCTTGCCCCATTTCGACGGGGAGCCTACTCACGGAACTGCATACAGATGCTAGTGGTATCGGTGTTGGTGTCGTGCTAGTTCAGTATCACGACAGCCGCCAGCACGTCGGGGCGTATGCAAGTCGTACTTTGACTAAGGCTGAGAGGAATTATACGGTCACCGAACTTGAATGTCTTGCGGTTGTTTTCGCCGTCCAAAAGTTCAGACCTTATTTGTACGGCTGGCAATTCAAGATCGTCACAGATCATCATTCTCTTTGTTGGCTCGTCGGACTACGTGACCCAGCTGGCCGGTGGGCTCGTTGGGCCTTACGGCTTCAAGAATATACTTTTTCTGTGACCTACAAAAGTGGTCGATGTCACGTAGATGCCGACTGCTTATCTCGTCTTCCATCTACGACTGTGGATGCCGATGATTTGGATAACTACCTGGCTGCAATTTCTTCCAACTTCCCAAATTTGGACGTCTTCCGTCACAACCAATAGCGTGACCCTTCACTGAAACTAATGATCGATGTGGCTCGTAGCTCTAAACGCGCCATGCCATTCGCGATTGATTCATGACGGCCTACTATATCGCAAGAATTACTCCAGCCATGGTTCCACACTACTCCTCGTCATGCCAGAATGCCTGCGTCTTGCGGTATTTCAAGTCATGCACGATTACATCACGTCTGGGTACCTTGGATTTGCCAGAACGCTTCACCGCATCCGACAACGTTTTTACTGGCCTAGACTCTGGAAGACCGCCAAGCACTACGTCGCAAGTTGTGATGTCTGCCAACGCCACAAACAACCAACCACGCCATTGGCCAGCCCACTGCAACCGGTTAAGCCACATACATCATTGTTCGAAAAAGTCGGCATAAATTTACTGGGCCCTTTCCCAAAGTCTACCACCGGCCGCCGCTGGATTATTGTGTGCGTAGATTACCTGACACGGTATACTGAAACGATGGCGGTTGCTTCAGCCATCTGATGTGTCATGATTTCTTCTGCACTTTATTACACTCCGTCACGGGCCCCTCGTGTGCTGATAAGTGATCGCGGTCGGCAGCTTACCGCTGACGTTGTCGAAGAGCTGCTACGGCTTTGTGGGTGCCAGTATCGGCATTCTGTGCCACACCACCCCCAGACCAACGACCTCACTGAGCGCACAAATCGTACCATCATCCACAAGCTTTCAATGTACGTCGCAGCGGATCACAAACACTGGGATGCCGTATGACTATTTGTTACATACGCATTTATAACCGCGAAACACGAGGTCACAGGTTATACGGCTTTCTTTCTTCTCTATGCTCGTCATTCCCAAAGTTTCTTTGACACCATACTTCCTTTTTCGACGAACGAAAACGCCAGTGTCGCGCCGAAGAAGCTTGTCGACTTGCTCGGCTCCGAACTCTTTCCGCCCAAGCTCGTGCGAAGGACCGTTACGACGCAAAACACCCGCCTGTGACTTTCGCTATGGGTGATTTCGTCTGGCTGTGGATGCCCGTTCGAAAGAAGGGAATTTGCCAGAAGCTTCTTTCCAAGTACTTAGGACCAGTCGTCATTACTCAATGCTTCAGTGACGTCACGTTGCGAAAGTGACAGCTCAGAACCGGCGTTCACGTAGACGCAAATTGTGCACATTTCCCGATTGAAGCCCTACAACAACTGATGGCTTCTACTCGCTCGGTGAGCTTCGTCTTGGCTGGAGGAAAATGTAATGCCGACTGAAAGAGCGAGAAAGAAGAGGAGGTAGGACACTCTCGAGCGATAGTGATTCGGCAGTGACAGTTGAGCGCTGGCATTTTCAGTGTAAATAAACCCATCACATCTGTAACAATATTTTAACACTATAAAAAGGGAATAATTTCCCTGAACAAGAATCTTCCCGATTAAGCTTACCACAAAGAACACTGACAAAACAGATATATACACACACAGAAAAAGGCATAACATAACCATTGTTAACCCTCATGGTGATAAGAGTCAGTAAAAGAAGGCTAACTGAACTACTTGTGTATTAAGTACAGCCTCTCAAAATCCAGGAAAATCCTGCCACTATAAATGCTATGTTAAAAACGAAATCAGTGAGCATGATGACAATTACACAGCACTATGCTCTTGTCACTAGACCAAACCCCGGTTTGTTTCTCTGCCAGCCTATGCCAACAGCAAATTCATGATACAAAGCTGGCAACCCCGTGTGAAAAGCAAACTCATGAAGATAAGACAGCAAGAGCCAATCTCATTTTAGCACTTGAATCTTATAATGATTACAAGAAACAAAACAAACTTACCTGATTATAATTACCAGCAATCACACTGACAAAACTATCACTTATAAATTTTTTGTTGTATACACACAAAAAATGAAAGGCTAAAGGAAAAGCATGTGAAAATTGCCACCAATTTACAGGAAAAAAAATCACTCGCTTATACTAAGCATTTCTTGTCAAGTTAAAAATATTGGAAGAAAAAACAAAGAAAACCAACTTACACAGATAGGCCCGCTCCTGGTTTGGATCCAAGTTTGTAGGGAGTACAGTGGGCATTCCAGGGATGAACACCTTTTCTTTCTCGTCACAGCACCAGCGGCTTCTCCGCTTTCGACGACGTTCTCCAGTACTAGTCTCTAGAGAGCCCATGGAACCCATGGAGCCCATGCTTGTATTGCTATTTTCATCCTGACTAGCCCAGGATGGCAGCATTGATATTATAGGGGGTGCTCCAGTCATTGCCGCTGAAACAATACATACATATATAATGAACACATATTTTCCTGCCCAAATTGTCTTCAAATATAAATAGGTCCCTTGTTGGCAAAGATCAACCCATGTTATGCTGGAAAATTACAGACAAGAGGGTTTCATTCAATAATAATAATAATAATAATAATAATAATAATAATAATAATAATAATAATAATAATAATAATAATAATAATGTTGTTATTATTATTATTATTATTATTATTATTATTATTATTATTATTATTATTATTATTATTATTATTATTATTATTGAGGTTTTACATCCCAAAACCATGATACGATTATGAGAGACGCCGTGGTAGAGGGCTGCAGAAATTTAGACCATCTGGACCAGCAACGGAAAATTGGATCATCTGGACCAATGTGCACTGACATCGCACAGCACGTGGGCCTCTACCATTTCACCTCTATATCGAAATGCGACTGCAGCAGCTCAGCTGGGATCCAATCCGCAACCTTTGGGTTAGCAGCCGAGCACCCTATCCACTGATCCACCTAAGCAGACGCTGAGGGCTTCATTCAAGACAGACTCTTTACTTAATAGTGCTTACCAATGAGACGAAAACATCAGCATTTGTTTTTGTGTCCGTGTGTAAACCTTTTGCACAAATTTGATTAGTAACTGCAATTAAAGCAGCCTGGGTCATGAAGGTGGTCCTTAATTTTCAGTAAAAATATCAAATGAAAATTTAAGTATATAGTAAGTGACAATGAAACAATATCGGCAGTCCGATATTCATATCTTCTCTCACATGTTAAAGGGACACTAAAGCGAAACAATGCAATGGCACAAGAATAAAATTCATACTCTGAAAACTTCTGTCATTAATTTCGCCATTACAGCTTTCAAAATAGAAGACAACAAAGGTCAAAGTATCATTTTGAAACTTTGTGCTGAAAGCCTTGTGCATAACATCAAGGATTTCAAAGGGTATTTTTCATATTATGGCAACATTTGCAAAGTGAAATTAGGTGAAACCTGGTATGTTAAGTCTATGGCCCGCTTAGAGGATAATGTACTTTCATTTTTACAAATTTAAGAACTACATGGGACCTAGTGGGTGCCTTGAAAATCTAATACATCAAAATGTATGGTGCTGAAATTTTAAGGTGGCATTGCCACCAGCTCCCCCTTCCCCCGTTCTTTTTTAAACCCAATTTCTTGCTTACCAAACGTTTTGCAACAAGTGTGTAGATTTTGGAATTGTCAAATAGGAATTTATAAATACAAGAATAATTGTCTTTCTCTTTAGTGACATTTTAACACATGAACAAATCAGGGTTTCGAATTTCATAAGAAAACTTGAGTACCAAAGAGCTAGTGATACATTGTGGAAGGTGCAATAGCTTGTTCCCAAAGCAATAAAGAAGACCAATATTTGACAAGGACTATCACTGACACCTGGCATGTGGATGTCGTGCAAGGGAACATTACGAAAGCTTTACAAGCTTGGTTTTTTTTTTTTTTGCGAGGAAAAAAAAGGATCACATAAAGCAGACTGTTTTCAAATGTGTTATGTGTCATTTCTGAACACCTTTCACAACTTATGAACTGATGGTTTATCAATTATAGTGTATAATTATAATGAAATTCAACATCCACAGTCATAGTTATTCATACATAATGAAAATCAGTACACATGTCTATCATGCATTCTTTATGCAAACATTTAGTGTTTTTTGCAAAAATTGTTCCATCTATATTTCCTAGCCTCATTTATTTGTCAGTAGTATTTTGTATTCACGAAATATAATACTACCATTCAACAGTATCCAAATAAATTCGGGCAAATTTTGAGTTTCCAATTATTATATCATAGAAGTCTCCACAACAGTACAGTGGACTTCTATAGAATATCAAATGCAGAGCTCCCAAATGTTCCCACATGATCAGTAACTAATCTCTTTATCATTCTCACTGTCAGTCAAGTACTGTAACAACCTGCTAGCTCTCTGGCTTTTTTAACACAATAGCATTAATGAGCTCGTTTTGCTGGTGTCAGTGACTGCGTAGGAATCGTTGGTTGTGAGCGAAAAATCGTCATGTGCACAACCCAAAAATAGAGAAAGATGCAAATAATCAAAATTTCCAGCTCCATGTGAAGATTCAACCCCGACCGTTTGCATGGCAAGCAGGCGTTCTACCACACAGCCATGGCTCCACTTGGAAATACAGCTAAAATAACTTCCTCTGCTTGGAAATACAGCAAAAATGATGTTCACAAGCATGGTCCTGTATACAGGCTTCACAACACAACATATAATATTGCAGCAATATTGCATAGTACAAGCATTTACCATAATGACTTACTATAAAAGGCCATGCAGGCAACCCTTGCTTCAGAGAAGGGAAATCCAACAAGATTAGGGTAAAGGGCACTTGCTCAGTCCCGGACTTGTCAATGGCGCTTATTTCCGATTTCCCAAAAAAGAGAGGGAGGGGGGAAGCTTGCTTGGCATTTTACGGTAGTGGTTTAAATTACAAATGTATTTCTTTTAGACCACATAGTGGGTGCATAGCAAGCTCGAAAAGATTTTATGTGCATACTTGCTCGTGGTTTAAAGCAAGTTATCACTTACACAGAACTCAGCCATATGCATAAGCTTCACTAACACAAGCCACCCCCAACTTTATCGACTACATTATAGTAATCCACAATTTAAACTTCTCAAGCAACATCGCGCAATAAAAAAAGAATCCCTAGGTGGTTAGAGTATGCACCAGGGACAAGATATCGCTATCGCATTCAACTCTTAAAGGCAAGACTTAAGGGCCACCCAATTATTTTTCCTACACCTGACAGAACTTCAGACATGAAAGTGTCTGTCGTTCTCCCCTTTTACTCATCTGAATGGCGGCTTAAAATCCACTCTTGCAATTGCGGCACGAGAGACTTTGGGCTTTCAATTGTTCTCGAGCGGCGCAAATTTGTAGTGAACGCGAGATAATGCTCCTCGTAGATCATGGCAGGCAGCAGGAGCCCACGGTGGCACCGCTGTTGATTAAAATCCGGTATAGGTCGACATGTCACACATCTTGACTTTCTGGTCTTGTATCATGTGAACATGCGAGGACTTCCTGATGTGATAAGCTCGTTGAAGTACGACAACAAAAAAACCACACTGCTTCTCTTTCAACATCGCGCACAGAAACAGATGACAAGCTCTCAACAAATAGCTCTGCAGCACGCGAACTGCTGTAGGTACCTGTGGGGCATGGCAGGAGAGCGCGACAATGGCGGAAGTGACATCACATGAACACTATGCATATTCAGTTACAATCTGAATATGCATATGCAGAGGTGACCAACACCAGCTCACATAATGTCATTTGAGGCTAGCTCATGAACACCAATGCCACCGGATACAGAGCACAAAACCGCTATTTTAGTAGCATTCATTTACCCTTTTGCTTGCATAGCCTACACTTTGTTATTCAGGCACCCTAAAAGCTTGCTTGTGTATGTGACGAGCCAGCAATTTTCCGGTACCTTAGCATCGTATGACTTGAAATCGACGAGTCTAGCCTTCCCCCACTCCCACTTCTAGCGCTATGCGCACGTGGCGAGAAGACACGCAGACGCGCCAACTAATATGTTCGCGGAATATCTGCGCTAAACATTTAATTTTCTCGTCGTATAAGTGCGTAGCCATTACGTGTGAAAGGCAACAGAATACAGAGACAACCTGTGACACAAGTTACATTTACACGTATGCACATTCGACATAACAGCTGTAACAAACTTGTGTTTGCTCCCAAAAGCCAAGAATAATCTTTACCCAAATTACCAAGAAATCTCAAGAGAACTTCCAGCTAAGGCACCTTGAAACTATATATTTTCTCTTATGTCTGAATGTCACAAACACGTCGGGGAACAACAGTCGCCCTTGCCGTCCATCGAAGCATGCGCACGCTCAGATGACCCCGAACAATGTAAAATAATAAAATATAATGAAAGTAGGAAACTTACGAAGGGCTGTTTCTCGGTCTTTGTCCCGGTCTCGATCTCTGTCGCGATCACGGTCCTTGTCCCGTTCGCGGTCCTTGTCTCGATCTCGATCTTTGTCCCTGTCACGGTCTCTTCGGTCGCGACTTTTATCGCGGCTCTTGTCTCTACTTCGGTCGCGGCCTCGACTTCTGTCACGGTGTCGATCCCTGCTTCGATCCCGACTTCGAGCGCGACCACGGTCTCTACCGCGGTCTCTCGAGCGTTCCTTATCACGGTCTCTCCTGCCGTCTCGGTCACGAACGCGATCTCGATCACGTTCGTCGTGGTCCTTGTCAGCCTTCGTCGACGTAGGCAGGGCAGGGAAGATTGGAAGAGCCACAGGCGGCGCAGGTGCGCTCACGGTACCGGAGGTGCCGTTGGGTTGCGACGCGGTTGGCGGCAGCGCGCCGGCCATGTAACTAGGCTTCAACAAAGACACCCCAGTACCAGCGGCTGGCCGAGCTGGAGGGAACGAGCCTAGGCGCCCCAAAGGTGTAGTGTTCGCGCCAGTAGCCATTCCTAAACGCGCCTACAATGAAGCGTGATTGATGGTCAAGAAACTACGATTAACTGCGCCTGCGTAAGCACTCAAATACTTCTCGGCAGCTTAGCACATGAACATGGCGTCACAAAGTTCGCCGCGAGTGTCCTTCTCACCCTCTTGTCCTACGACAACAGCGTACTATGACGGTTTAGTAGGCTCACTACCTGCGCTGCACCACCACGACCCTCTCCGCGTCGACAAATTTGGCGCCCGGCAGGGGCGCTGCTACTAGTTTCACATTAAGTCTTTAGTTTCGCACTCATCTCAGCGCAAACTCGCCCGCCGACTGCGCAAAACAGGCATGGCGCCTAGCGCCAAGCGGCAGCCCCCTTGCCAGGGTATGGCCTTCTGCCCGAAACAAAAATTTCCCCCTCACACGACCCTGGGGGGGAAGACATGCCGGGACAGTCGTATGGATGATGATGGGTTGATGAGTTATGTGTGACTCTGAGACAAAGCGCCTTCGGCACCGCGTTTCCTTCCTATCTGACAACGGCATGGGAACGTGAGCGGGAAGAGGATCCCGTTGCATTTATAGGTCTGTTCGATTCACTGCACCAATTATAACCGGTTCACGTTTGTGCACGCGAAGTTCAGAAATTGTGCAGCGCGAGTTCAGCGGTGCAGGCACAGCGCGACCACCGAAACGAATGACGATGTGCCAACAAGGTGCAGGCCTTATTTCTGTTCGCTTAATTTACATCGTTCAGCGAACTTTGAACGATGGCAAACCGCACATGTGGACAGTTTATGAGGCGCAAACATCTTGGTAAAACACACCGCGTTAGTAGAGGCGGGTACGGCACCTACGCCTAAGTGCTGCGTCGTCTGCTCAGCTGCACGCGCGGCTGCACCAAGCCGGCACCATCAGCGTAGGAGGTGCACGAAAATTGTGAACCAATGCTGCACCTCTTGAAACGAATGGCAGGGTTCAGAGGTCGTCAATGCCACACCACTGAAGCGAATGGCAAAGTGCAGCACCCCGTGAACTGGTTCACATGGTGCAGGCGAATCGAACGGACCTATAAAGTCTGTATATTAACTCTGCGGCCCATAGGGTGCACCGTGCACGGTTAACCGTATGACGGAAAAGTCAACGCTAGCTGTCCACCGGACGTGCATCACCTGCATAATGGTTGCTAGAGGGGCAGGTGCATAGAGGAAAGGGAGGTGTGAGCTGCACAGAGCAGCAACGGCGCATACACACAATGAACGCAAGCACGATCACACATAAACAATGTTTAACCCCCCCTCACGAAATAAAAAAAAACTTCTGGGTACGCTCTTGATGCATGCCTGATTTCTTTAAAAGGTCTGATCAGCAGTAAATGACCAATAAACTTGTGGACTTCACACCTCTGCTTTCTGTTCATAGCATGCCGTTATGGCTTAAGAACAAAATTTTTAGATGCGATAAAATCAATGCCTAATCATAATGTGTGGTGTCGCCTCACCCATAGTCACCTATATGAGAACTTCTGATAATTCAAACTTCTTGATATTTCAAACAAAGCTCAGAGGTCCCTTTGAGTTTGAATTAACAAGAGTGTACTGTAATTTATCAAGCAGCTCTTCATTCCGGGTGAGACGATGCAACCACATACTACCTGATACTACGTCTTTTTAGGGGTGAAGCTCCTCTTGGTCTAACCTTGTCCTGCATCAGGCTTAACCGACAGAAGACAAAGAGAAGAAAAAAAGGCAGTATCTCCCAAACAGTATAATAGATGATGCTGTCGCATAGCTGTAGGTGACAGCAGCGATGGCGTAGTGGTTAGAGCATCCGCCTCGCATGCAAAAGGTCCGTGGTTCAAATCCCGATGCCGCGCAGTTCCCAACCGGATACAAAAAAAAAATCCGCGTGGTGATGGAACTGCATTACGAGGCCTGGGGTGCCGCCTCACCGGTAACCACCGCCGGGAACGCACTTCCTCACCAGAGAAGGATTGACCACCCTGGTGCAGTATCTGGCCACTACCTCCCACATGCATACGTCAAATAACTCACGGCCCTGAGTCCCCAGAAGCTGCGAAGCAACTGACCACGGCGGCGGTCAGATCTGCAACGCAGTAGAGGGTGCTTAAGAATCTCTGGATCCGGACAGGCCGCCATCGGAACCTGAACTTGGCAACGTTTAACGCTACAACCTTATCTAGTGAGGGAAGTCTAGCTGTACTATTCGAGGAGCTAGAGGGTGTTAAATGGGATATAATGGGGCTCAGTAAGGTTAGGAGGACAGATGAGGCCTATACGGTGCTACAGAATGGGCACGGCCTTTGCTATCGGGGCTTGGCTGACAGAAGAGAACTGGGAGTGGGTTTCCTAATTCACAGAAACATAGCTGGCAACATAGAGGAATACTACAGCATTAATGAAAGGATGGTAGTTATCGTAATTAAACTGAATAAGAGATACAAGATGACGGTGGTACAGGCTTACGCGCCTACATCCAGCCATGATGACGCTTCAGTTGAAAGCTTCTATGAAGACGTGGAATCGGCAATGAGTAAGGTAAAAACACAGTATACTATAGTGATGGGCGACTTTAATGCAAAGGTAGGGAAGAAGCAGGCTGGAGACCAGGTAGTAGGAGATTATGGCATCGGTACTAGAAACGCCAAAGGAGAACTACTAGTAGAATTCGCAGAACGCAATAATTTACGGATTTTGAATACCTTCTACCGAAAACGAGGAAACCGCAAGTGGACATAGAGAAGCCCTAATGGCGAAAATAAGAACGAAATATACTTTATAATGAGTGTACACCCAGGAATCGTGCAGGAGGTGGAAGTGGTTGGCAAGGTACGATGCAGTGACCATGGAATGGTACGGTCTCGAATTCGCCTAGACTTGAAGAAGGAACGACAGAAACAAATACGCAAGAAGCCAATCAATGATCTAGCACTGAGAGGGAAAGTACAGGAATTCAGAGTGTCGCTTCAGAACAGGTACTCGGCTTTTAGTGAGGAAACCAACCTTAGCGTAGATACAATGAATGATAATCTGACGAGTATCATTACGGAGTGTGCAGTGGAAGTTGGAGGCAGGGTAGTTAGACAGGACACTAGCAAGCTTTCCCAGGAAACGAAGAATCTAATTAAGAAGCGTCAAATCATGAAAGTCTCAAGTACAACAGACAAAATAGAACTGGCAGAACTTTCGAAGTTGATTAATAGACGTAAGGTATGCGATGTAAGCAGGTATAACATGGAGAGAATTGAACATGCTCTGAAAAACGGAGGAAGCGTCAAAGCAGTGAAGAGGAAACTTGGGATAGGCAAAAGTCGGATGTATGCACTAAGGGACAAAGACGGCAAAATAACTACAATATGGATAGGATAGTTAAAATAGCGGAGGAGTTTTACAGAGATCTGTACAGTAGCCGAGACAACCACGACCTTAATACTATAAGAACTAGCAGTAACCCAGATGACACCCCACCTATAATGATAGAAGAAGTCAGAATAGCTTTGGAGAGCATGCAAAGAGGCAAGGCTGCTGGTGAGCATCAGGTAACATCAGATCTGCTGAAAGATGGTGGACAGATTGTGTTAGAAAAACTAGCCACCCTGTTTACGAAGTGTCTCCTGACGGGAAGAGTACTAGAGTCTTGGAAGAACGCTAACATCATCTTAATACATAAGAAAGGAGATGACAAGGACTTGAAGAATTACAGGCCGATTAGCTTGCTCTCTGTAGTATACAAGCTATTTACAAAAGTAATTGCTAACATAATAAAGAAAATATTAGAATTCAATCAACCAAAGGAACAAGCAGGATTTCGAACAGGCTACACAACAATCGACCACATTCATACTATCAATCAGGTAATAGAGAAATGCTCAGAATATAACCAACCACTATACATAGCCTTCATAGATTACGAGAAGGCGTTTGATTCAGTAGAAATATCAGCCGTCGTGCAGACACTGCGGAATCAGGGCGTCGATGAAGTATATATAAACATCCCGGAAGAAATCTACAGGGGATCAACTGCTACCATAGTGCTTCATAAAGAAAGCAACAGAATACCAATCAAGAAGGGTGTAAGGCAGGGGGACACAATCTCCCCAATGCTATTTACCGCGTGCTTACAGGAGGTTTTCAGAAGCCTAGAATGGGAAGTTAGGAATAAGAGTTAATGGAGAGTACCTTAGTAACATGCGCTTCGCCGATGACATTGCATTGCTGAGTAACTTAGGGGACGAATTGCAACTCATGATTACGGAGTTAGACAAGGAGAGCAGAAAGGTGGGTCTTAAAATGAATCTGCAGAAAACGAAAGTAATGTACAACAACCTCGGAAAAGAGCAGCGCTTCGAGATAGGTAATAGTGCACTTCAAGTTGTAAAAGACTATGTCTACTTAGGGCAGGTAGTAACCGCGGAGCCGAAGCACGAGATTGAAGTAACTAGAAGAATAAGAATGGGGTGGAGCACATTTGGCAAGCAATCTCAAATTATGACAGGTAGATTGCCACTATCGCTCAAGAGAAATGTATATAACAGCTGTATCTTGCCGGTACTTAGCTACGGAGCAGAAACCTGGAGACTTACAAAGAGGGTTCAGCTTAAATTGAGGACGACGCAGCGAGCAATGGAAAGAAAAAAATGGTAGGTGTAACCTTAAGAGACAAGAAAAAAGCAGAGTGGATTAGGGAACAAACGGGGGTTAAGGATATCATAGCTGAAATCAAGAAGAAGAAATGGACATGGGCCGGGCATGTAGCGCGTAGACACGATAACCGCTGGTCGTTCAGGGTAACTAACTGGATTCCCAGAGAAGGCAAGCGGGTTAGGGGGAGACAGAAGGTTAGGTGGGCAGATGAGATTAAGAAGTTTGCGGGTATAAATTGGCAGCAGCAAGCACATAGCCGGGTTAACTGGCGGAACATGGGAGAGGCCTTTGTCCTGCAGTGGACGTAGTCAGGCTGATGATGATGATGATGCTTGATGATGATGCTTGATGAGCAACACAGCAACCCGCGCTCTGCCCGCCGCGGAAAGTTTTAAGTGACGCTGAGAGCCGCGTCGCCTGTCGATGGCGACATGAAGTGCGGCACGCTCCACCACTTAGTGAGTGGACTACAAACTTTAGTACACTGTGCATCCATGGTGTACAAATGACGTCATCGAAGACAAACGCGACACCATCACAGTGTAATCGACATTATCACTTGACAATAATTACTGACTTTTGATAACTGTATATTGTTTAAGCTATAAAATATACTGTAAGTGCTATATTGGTTACTGCTTTCACGTTACTAATGCATAAGTACATTTTCATTATTTATGAAACCATGCTTAAGTTCATGACAACACAATTTCTACCTTGTAATTCTTTAAACAACTTTGCTGCATAAGCTTTGACTACCTTGGCTTCTAAAGCACCGTAATCAGTTCATCCTAATTTTCCTTTGAATTTCTCGCTGACAGTAATAAATAAATCTATGCGCATCTGTCTATCTTGCCAGAGTTATTCATGTAACTCTGTCTACTTGCGTCTTACATGCCCTGTACCCTTGTATGTAGTACGTATGTATCGCATGTAATACTGGCCGTACCTCCACATGTCTTTGGGCAACCACTGTGGGCTCTAGAGTTACGCCGGTAAAAACACCAACAAAAAAAAAGGAAAAAAAACGGCGGAAGTAGTTTTTGGTTTCGCTCGTGCTTCGTTTCCGGTGCTCGGGTTAAATGTCGCGAGGATGAGCTACCGTCCGAACCAAGGTTTATATCGCACCCTAGACTTCGTTACTCCTGTGACACGAGTATGGGGCATTTTTTCTGCAATAGGTAAGCTGTTCGTCTAATCGCGAGACGTTTAAAGATGTATGTACATGACCTTGCGCAGCGAAGAAGCAAGTTTATGCGTATAGAGAAGAAACAAGGCTGCTAATATACCGCACGAAGTGCATGCTGTTTACTTCTCGCTTCGTTAAACACCGATGAGAAATAGCGGAAGCAGGTCAATTTCAGGATAAACTCATAGTGCGTTAATTTGCCCTTCAATGATGCCGGGCATGTGCTAGTGCCACTTAGCGCGGTGTGCACGTGTAGTACGCAGCAGCGTGCATGCGTGTCAACACGAGCACGTATATATGCTGTTCATAATACAAAGTCTTCAGCATACGAATTACTTGCATTTGGTGTGTATGCGTGTGTGTATGATTGAACCACTCAGAACGGATACATCGGCGCTTATTTATTGCTTACAAACGTGTTAGCACAGTATGCCTTTGCTCTGTAATAAAACCAGTTTCTAATTGCTCTTCTCAGAAGCACCCTTTTTCAGACCATGCCGTGCGCGTCTTGCTCGCACACTCTCATAAGATGTCATCTTCTTTGCACTTGTAGTTTACTGGGGCATAGGCGCTGACATCACGTATCATGGCGACTCCCTGGGACCGTACATACTGTGGGTATCAGATGTTAACTGTATCTGTGTCATTAAACATACTGCAGTGTTGTGAAGAAATGCACTGATTCATTGACTCGCATTTCAGGGCCTCAGCTGTGTTCATTACGCTCTTCGAAACGGCATTTGCTGTAGACCTTTTCCTTGAGGTTTGTATAAGGTATGTAAGTACTTGACCTGTTCTGCATTTACTACATGTGGGCGACTATTGAGAAACAAAACAACAAAAATTACAGTTTCCATGAACAAGCCTCCATGTAATAAATGCTACCATACATACACACTAGCTTAATAGTAAGGACAGGTAGTCTTTAGGCATGGTGTGGAAATTGGCTAAAATTGAAAAGAAAAAAAAAACGGCAACAAGAAGGAGATGCAATATCTCATCATTTAATGCTGCGCCATATGTCCTGTTTTCATTTCGCGTGATCACGATATAATCACTAGTAACTGTACAACTTCCCATTTTTTAAACCTGAACGCTTGAGCATCGACCGCCAAGTCAATAAGTGGCATTTAAGGTATGAGGTCAAGTGGAAAAAGTGAATTTTTTCTTAAAATGTTGTTTTTTAGTTTTTGATTTTTTAAAATGTGCAATTTATGGTCTGTCAATTCGCTGCATAAAGCTTTCGTCTATGCAGTTTCTTTGAAAAGATGCAAGAAAAATTGTTAAAGCACTCATCACTTATGAAACCGAAACTAAAAGTTCCAGTTTTGTGTGTATCATAAGAATAGCTTGATATGTAGTATTTTGTTGATTATTTAGCAATCATATCTAGTGCAAACATGTGATAATGCTCGAAAAGGATTGTCAACACATCATCTTTAATCATAAAGGTCATAAACTTCTCACTAGGTGAATGTGAAGAATGGTACTCATGTTGGTCACACTCAAAAACATGTGTGTGAGCCTGTAAACCATCAAATTAGCTTTTTTTGATGATGTGTGTCATTTCAATAAATGCAACAGAAGCATATGTGATACTCTTAGCAAATTAGGATCAAGCCTGGCCCCTACACTTCAAAAGCGTGCCTGACAAATGATTAGCATTACAGCGCAAAAGTGCCTTGTTACGTCACTGATGCTGCAAAACAAGGTAAAAAAAATTAGTTGCCGCTCGAAAAAAGGCACCCTGTAGTAAGGTCTACGATAGAACTGGCTATAAATATGAAGAATTTTAGCCCTCCTGATCATCTTGCTGAGCACTGCACCTGTTTCAAATCTCTTTGTTGATTTTTTCAGAACTGATATTTCTTGTCTTTTTTTTCATATGCGAACAATTGTAACTCTTTTGCTAATAGATATTCTTCATTAAAACTTGGCACACTCTTTTATCACATTGGCAGGCATGAAATGAACCTCAATAAGCAAAATCTTGCCACAACATTTAATATGGCTGCCTTTTATATGAAGGTGCCCCTAGTGCTAATTCATACTTTTTTGCTTATTTAGTTACTGTTTTGAATATTCACTATATCTCATTTATTTTGATTCATTGCACAAGTCAAGCTTTTTTATGTCTCTGAAAAAAATAATGTTTTTTAATAAGTGGAACTTGAATTAAAATTGTTTGCATAAAACATGATTTTAATGAATTTTTAATTGTGGTTATGTTAATTATTTTAATTATGATTATGTTAGCATTATATCTTCCTTCATAATGCTAACATGTCTCTAAAAAGATTTGTTTTATTTTGCAGACTAATAATGTCTAGTGGTTATTGTTTAAAAAAATTCCATCACTTGGCCTCATGCCTTAACAGAGCACAGTGGCAAAATGAACAAGAATATGTGCATGCCTGCAATGAACAGTCCTGTGCAGCTGTCTTCTGCTGAGCTGTTCCAGGAACAAGACACCTGCAACAGGTGCTTACAGACTCGGCAGTCGATGCTCGTGCATTTTTGTTTTTAAAAAATGGGCAGCTGTACATTATTCTCAAGATTATTATAGGAATATCAACGAATTGTTGATGTAGGCCTCATTCTGAAGTGTTGTCACATTGAACTGCATCCAAAGATTGTAGTTTAAGTCCCTGTCAGTGGCAAGTTCTTCACACTTTACGTCGTTCTTTACATCTACATCACAATTATTACAATGTACTAGAAAGAGTATAATTAATGTCCCCTTTAATTTCCTTGGCTTCATTATCTGCTGGTTCTCATTAAGCTTGTGTTAAATAAAAACCCTTAAAAATTTATTTCCTTCATTCACTGCACATTAATGAGCTGTTGGGGTGTTCCATCCGGCCATCCATGACAATATATCAATATAAAAAGTGACCACGATTGGAAAAGTAGTGTTGATGGCTCTGGTATGGCTTTTAATTTATGTGTGTTCAGTGTCATTTGTATTATGTGACTGAGAAAAATATTCATTACATTAGAGTGTAGTGGTAAATGTGAGAGTTGTATTAAGGCACAGAATTGGCTCGCTTTGCTGGCTTAGCCTTATAAGAAATCAACTTTTCTTTTTGGTTAAATGGACACTAAAGGCAAATAGCAATTTACGTTAGAGTGAAAGATCAATCTTTGAGAATGTCTAAAGCGTCATTATTACCAACAGCAGTGCTTACAACAGCACGCATGCAGTCAAAAACTTAAGGTAAATGTACGACAGTATTACGAACCAATTTTTGGAAAGTACCACATGTCACAGTCAAAATCACCCTACTATACCCTAGGGAACTTTTTTTATTGCCCTACATTTTACCGTACGCCTAAGGATAGCGCAGCATAGCAATAAAAAGGTACAGACTTCACTGTAGCACATGCAGATGTCTAGTGGCGCTCAAGGCGGTAGCTACATTGAAAACTGGTTTGAACATTTTTCAAAGAGAGAATGAGAACGTGAGAGACAGAGGATGAGAAGAGAAAGTGTTCTACTATTTGTATGGGGAGAGCTTCGATTCACAGTTGAGAAAAAGAAGTAGGAGACTTATCAGCAAGTAAACAGCTGGTAGTATAAGTGGTATGATGATCAAGAGCATTAAGTAAAACATTAGAGAGGCAGAAAAGATATATTGGATAGCAGTGATGGAAAGTTTTTGGGTAATTACCAAAGGGGTGTAGACAAAATAAGCAAGCGTACACAACTTAACGATGATTCAAGGGATTGTGCTTTGTTGTTTAGAGCGAGGTCGGGTTGCATTGGTATGTGTAGTTGTAAAGCGAGACTCGGTGAAGAGAAATGCACATGTGTGGTTAAGGCAAAAAAACGATGGAGCTTCTTCAAATGGTTGGGAAGACATCCACTTGGGTGTGTGTCAGGGCAATGCCTACTTGAGACCTTGTGTTTCAGAGACATTAGAGAGGTACACAGGCCAGCGATAGAAATAAAAGATGACTGGTTGATTGGTGGCAGAAAAATAGGCAAATAACAAAAAAGAAAGAGTAAGCCAGTGTTAATCTGCGCCAAGGCTCAGAAAGTAGAACTGTCAATTTATGAGGTATTTTTTTACAGGATGAGATCCCTAATTCATCTGGACAAAACTATGCCATATTGTCATAGCAACAATAATAAAATCTTGAGCTTGGTGAAGCACAGGCAGCAGCCCTGTCATAAAGGGGACGCTCTTTCATCCACCCATGCACTGTAATTAAAAATGAAAAGCTGTTGCATGATCTGTTGCGCACTCCCGTAAGATCACTCGAAGGGGAAAGCCACCTTCTTTTTACAGCGAAAGATGTTATAAGATCAAAACTTGGGTCACGCGTGGCGCTATTCTTGTCTGCCACCGGTGTCTGCACAAAATTAGAAGAAAAAGATAACCTACCACTAATGACACAGTGGGGCTTGAACCCGGCTCCACTGGGTGCCAGCCCAGTATTCTACTACTGAGCCATGCTGGTGCTTGGGGCTTGTTGGCAAACTTGCCTTAGGCAGGCTTGATGTCGGGAAAGCAATCGCGTTAATACGACTTATAAAGCCTTTTAAAACAGCGAAAGAACAACCAGTCGTTGCACAGTGTGAATAGCGTAACGAGTGGGTCGTCCAATGCTCCAACCCATTACAAAAGGTTGTTTTTGTTCACCTATTAACTGTGCTGCATACCCACTTCAGGCATAATTCGTCATCGTTATCAGCCACTACTTGAACAATTGGCACAAGATTCCTTGCTAGTGTTTAGCGGATACCACGCTTCTCAAAAGAATGATGAAAATCAGCATAGCCAATGCCGGTCTACTGTCCGAAAATGTTCATTATTAGTGCCGTAGTGGGTATCAAGCAAGTGGGCTTGCAGCAGTTACCCAATGAGTGTTTATAAGACGCTCTGAAAGGCCGTTCTTCTAGCTTTCGTTGTGATTGCGCTGCTCCTTCCGCACAAGCCTGGGGTTTTTTGTCTCATCCTTTACATCTATTGATCACCTGCTCTTGAAATATTGATGTGTTATTTTTTGTGTCCACCCTATGCTGGTGACATGTGGATTCTGACAGTTTCAGTTTTATTCAAAGAAGAATTTACTTTTTGCATGTACTGAGGAATACCACACTCAGTGATGTCACGTTAATCATCCACTTTCACTGATCAATGACGAGCGAAAAATGGAAGTCACCCTATGCCTGATAAAGAAAAACATGTATTACCACCCTAGTACCCTATGCTGCCTGAAAAATTCCAAAAATACCATACAAGTAGGGTAATTGCCCTGCATTTGGCAACCCTGAATTGTGCGACACTATACGCTCCACGAGTAGGACATTTTTAAATGATCCCAGTGACATTGAAGGGTTCGACAACAATTAACCACTAATAATCAAACCAGTTGCAATAAAAAAAAAAACCTTCAGTGCATTACGATACATAATTACTGTTTCTCCATTTATGCTTGATTAATGGAAAAAAAACTGTGTTGGCATTAACATGGGAAATAGTCCGATTGGTTCAAAAGTTCCATTTTCACCGGGTGAGGCTGGATAGGTGGTGTCATCTAGCGAGGCCCACTTGAACCAAGCAAGCGCAAAATTTTGATTGCAAAAACTTTGTGCGTTCACATTTCTGGTGTGAATGGATTGCAGTGATGTAATTATAAATAGGTCGCCTTTCTAATCATTTTTTTCTATAAAATGCTAGGCAAATACAAACGTCCCTATGAATGTGATTGCACAAAGCATCACAAGATGTCAACATCATCATCGAGTGACCCTGCATTCCTAAAACCCTTTGCATGTGTTGGCGGCCATACGGTAAAGGTGGGCAACGTTGGGCAAGGCAATTTCTACGTCACAGAGGCCCACTTTCAGGCGGGTGACTTGAAGTGTGCTAACACTGTGCAGACCACTAAAATATGATTTTATTTTAAAACAAGCATTTTCTTGACATGAAAGCAGCACCATGAGGTTTCTGTATCGCTATTTTAGCCATCAACAGCGACTTAATATTTGCCTTTAATGCTAAAGCTGTGCCGTTAAAGGCACAGCTTTAGCACTTGGCTGTCATTCTTTATAGGGCAGTGGTACTGTGACAGTTAAGGTTCTATTTTGTGATACTTGTATAAAATCACCACAGTAGGTTAGTGGTTGTTGAATAGCATTGCTGAGCTTTTATTGCAAATTTGATCCTGGCAGCATTTTTACTTGGCGAAAATGTAAAAGCACACGTGTATATATATTGAGGTGGATGTAGTAATTAACTCTAGGTAGCCACAATTCGACCCCCTCCACTATGGCATCTGTCATGATTAGGTTGTGGTTTTGTAATTTTAGAGCCTGTAATTTGATTTTAACAGTTGCATGACAACTTGAAGTGAGTTTTTTTAGAAGCAAAAGCTAGGATGTGTTAGTAATATACTTAAAACAAGCAGTAGCACCGAATAATGATTGCAAGGAAGAATGACGCACATGGCTCTGTCTGTACGTATATGTCATTCTCCCCTTCCCTCATTTTTCTCTGCATAGTTGTCTGTATTGGATATGTTTTCAAGCTTTAGGGGCTTCTCTCTCTCTCAACAGATACAAAGCAGCAGGTGTGAGTGGATGAGTACCAGCAGCTGTATTAATGTGTGCAGATGAATATAGTAGTTTTTCTATTCATGTACAGTTGTACTGTTGTAGATAGACACTTAAATTAAAACTAAAGGCAACTAAGTCGACGTTGATTGCTGAAATAGTGGTCCAGAAACCTCGTAGTGTTACTTTCATGCCAAGTAAATGCTTATTTTGAAATAAAATCACGTTTTAGCAGTCCACATATCATTAGCACACTTAAAATCACCAGCCTAAATGTGCACCATTTTGACACCACAGTTGCCATGGCAAATGTCGCCCGCTTTTTCTGCATGGCTGCCGACGGTATTAGCAGCAGAGTAAAAGTAACCGGAGCCACAGCAGCAACAACCGCCATTGAAAAGTTTTCTGCTTGCTTGATTCAAGTGGGCCCTGCTAGATGGCACAATCTATCCAGCCAAACTAGGTAAAAGGAAATTTTGAACCATTGATGCCATTCTCCTTAGCAACGCCAGGCAGTTCTTTTTTTTTTTTTTCTATGAATCAAGCAGCAACCGACAAGCAGCACTTTATGTCGAGGGGGGGGGGCTTCGATATCATTAGGATCATTTCAAAATGTCTCACTCATGGTGCATACGCTGTTGTTCATTTACTTCAATTTCTCTATTGATAAAGGACTGCTGTTGCTAATATTGACGTTTTAGACATTTTGAAACATTGATCTTTCGGTCTGACGTAAATTGTTATTTGCCTTAGTGTCCCTTTAATGCAGACTGCCTAGTTGATTTCATCTTGTAGAAAAGGTTGATATCCAAAAGTTGATAATCATTGAAGACTGGTCGTGTGTTACCGTTTTAAAGGTTCATTGTCAAATTTATTAGAGCTTGTTGTTCTGTAATTTCAAGGGAGGAGAGAGGCTATTGCCTTCGCTTGTGGAGAGGAATTCGATGGGTAGATCTGTGGCGGAAAAGCGTCCTTTACTTGGCCTTGTCCATCCTGTGCTTCGCCTACCACAGCAGCTCCTGGTTAGGAGGTTATGCTGGTGAGTTTGCAGAAGATTTATTGATGAAGCATGTAGCCAAATGTTAGTGCATGCTCCCTATTTGTATTTTTGAATTATTGTTCTAGGTGCCACAACATTAGTTCTGTGTGTCCTTTACCTCATCCTTACCTACAAGAACCACCTTGAAGTGAAGGAGGCCCTCTTGGCTGACAAAGAAGCATCATATGACAGGTATATCTCCTGGCCCTTTCTTTATAATATTCGCTGTGTTGTGCATCTGTTTACAAAATTGTAAAGACTAGCCAGCTATTGTCTGCATTATGTGCGACAATGTGGGCACTCCTTTTCTAATACTAGGAGATAACATTACTGGATAAAGTGGGGGCCGGGACGTTTGTCATACCTGTTTCAGTCCAGGTATCCTGGTATGCGTTAATTTGCAGAGGGGAGGCATTTTTACTTTACGCCTCCCTGGCTGGTGACCTATTACAACACTATGTTGTAATAGGTCACCAAGTTATGAAACACTAGCTGGTTTAGCTTAGGAGAAAAAAAAATCTCAAATCAAGCAACTTTTAAAAAATGTCACCTGTTCAGACATTTTTTAGAAGCACTTTGCTTCAGCATACATGCTTCAAACAATGCTGTTTCACTCTTCATTATGCATATATTTACTAGAAAAAATAGTCTTTATCAAGCTAATATTTGCGTTTTTATATCGTTGTTAACTTTCGAAAATGACAAGGAATAAAGTTGGTCCCTCTGTACAAAATAAGTTAAATATTTATTTCTCCTAAACTATACAGTTACTAAAAAAACGAAGTTCACTTTCGGGCTACTGGGTGGTATGTGCACAAAATATAAAAATAAACAATCAAATCTAAAATATCAACTTTTCAACCCGTGTCGATCTCTCGTGGAATCACCTAGGTTCGACAACGAGCTGTAGAACGTTTTCTACTCGTTTTTTTTTTCAACATGTTAGTATATATATGTTACATTCCATGACAATACGTCAGCACAGCAGTAGCCTGGCATAGAACACTTTCCTGTTAAAATGAGCTTATTAGGAAGCTGTCAAAATTTTAGTTAGCTTTTGAGTGTGAAAAATGTGCCTGTTTTTGCTTTGTGTAATGTAAAAGGCATGCCTCTATACTGTACATGGTGCTGTATTCTTTCTATGATGTAAAAAAGCATTGTTAAGTTCTTGAAAATTCTTCCTTAGTGCCTTGCACATTCGTAAGACCTCTTGAATTTTTTATTCGCTGTTTGTATAAACCCTGGCATAGGGACCAACTGGTGTAGAACTGTTTGCACTATAAACACTAGGTTTAGGGCTTCCATTATATAAGTTTTGAGGAATCACATGAAGCATGTCATCTATTGGTGCCTGTAAACGAACTATATTTTATTAGGGAATGTTCTTTATATTTTAAACTTGGTTCTGAAGAGTGTTGCTTTGGTCACTTTTACAGGTCTTTTTTTTTTTCTCGTTAAGAAAAAAGGATATTAGCCCTTTTAGTGTCGGAGACAAACATGTACAAACATGATCTGCTACAGCCAAAAGACTGTTCAAGATGTCCATGTATGCTATTATTGCCTGTATGCCTAAAACGCATACCTTTTTCAGTAATTTCTCTTGCTTTTCATGTGGAATTACTTGTAATTTTTTCCTTGCGCCAATGCATCTCTCTCTCCCTCTCCCTTTTTTTAATGCTTTATTAACTCTTTACTACAGCAGCGCACCAGCTAGTTTTGGTTTCATTCTTCTCTCGGTTCTCACTTGCAGCACCCAAAAAACCGATGATCTTTCAAAAGGTGACAAATTTGTTACTCTCTCGTTTATTGCTCCCCGGTACGCGATTACGCCTGTGTCTGTGCAGACACTGGAGTGGCACAAACGATGCTGCTGTGGTTGCGTTTCCTGTTTTGGTATTCACCAAAATTGCTTTCAACTTGTTGGCAATAAGACGAAGAATTATTATAGGTTGCTTGCTTTGTTTTTTCTTTCCAAACGCGTGCGCAGCTGTAATGTTTTCTTCATAGTACACACCCACACGGTCCAGTTGCTCTGCTGCAAGATAGTCTAGCGGCAGTTTCTCCTAATCACCTCTGAATTGCTGAATCAGAATTTCATTCAGTAATCTTGCCTGTCATAGGAGGAGTTACTTACAACTTATGACTCAGATATCGATGATTGAGCGACGTCTCAAAAGTGCGCTCAGCGAGATGATGCCGACTGGATTAAAAGTGGCTATTTTCCTCTTCGTGTCTCCACTTTATGCCACTTTGTGCACTTATTTGTGTATGTCTGTGAATTACACAGATGTTTATTTCAAAGCGTAATATTTTAGCAGTCTTATAGGTTTAATTTTTTTTAATATATCTTGCTTTTACTCAGAAATAAGCCATGTGTATGTAACAACACGAATCATTTTCTTTATTTTGCAGTCATAAATAAATTATTTTTTGTCATCTTAGACACAATGGTATAAAGAATTTAATTTTTTAAAATCAACTTTCAATGCATTTCGTAAAAAAAATTGACCCTGGTAGCCTTAATCAGGCACATTTTCTCAATCCTGTTTGGAGCTAGTCTTCATAATAATGTGTAAAATTTAAAGAGTTACTTTATTTTTTAAGGTTTGATGCACTTGAAGAAGAGGTGGACGAAACACTTCCAGAGCCTGATGTTGACACTGTTGGTGACCAAGACCGCATCTTGGAAGTATGAGGACCTGCTGTTTCCTGGGTGTCTATGTGCAACAACAGACAGCAGCTTGTGCCACAGTCAATAGTGGAAGTGTTCTACAGTTGGTAATAGTGGGTCTTGTAGGCACCACCTTGTTGTATAAAGACACTTTGTCATTATTGTTGAGCTATTGATCTGATGTTATATACAGTGAGTGATCTTTCTGTTACCATATTTACACCTGTGCTATCTCTTTAGGCATCTAGATATACCAGAACCAGTTATGTATTATTGTGGATGATTCATATTTCTAGCCTCTTTTTTTATTTTTACTCCCCCTCTCCCATTCTTGTTCAGCAAAGTGTTAGTACTATGGGTTTTAGGTATTGTGGGCTGCTAGAGTCTAGGCTGTTCACTGTACTTAATATTTTGTCTTTCCACTTGTTCATTTTATTCAGAAAATGGAAACAAGCTTTCATTGATCTTGTTGCATTTTCCAGCCTGCATTTTGCCATCCATTTTATCTTTGTTACTGTCATCTGTATTAAGGATGTTCCAGCTGTTTTTTTTTATACTCCCTTTCATTATTTCCTTGTAATTGTGCTAGGATTTACAGTCCTTAGCATCGTTGCTTTTATTAAGGTGCCATTTAGCTGCATAAAGTTTTATTACTTGATGCTTGTGCTAATTCTAGGTGTAAAATGTGGGCTGCAGTACACTTCACTCGTCATGCTGCCTTTTTATGGTTTTGAAAACTTGGCAACATATTTGGCTCATCACTATGTTTTGTTGGTCTTGTGGTGCGCCTAACTGTGAAGCTGTAGATGGGATAACCAGACAAAGGTTTGAGTCGTACAGTGGCATGGCCAAGGGTGATTTCGGTGATTTAACCGCCTCCCCAAAATATTTACATTTTGTATGTCAATAAATACATACAAATACATCAACGAACATAGTTACCTAGGTGGGGAGGAGGTGAACTTCCTCCCTAGCCCCCTTTGTGAAAAATTTCTCCCTGTACTCCTGGAGTCTTGAACCTGTGTAGTGTTATTCCTAGCCTTGTGGGCTAGCTGCAAATGACAATTTGAAGAAGGAGTTGCTATTGCACCAGCACTAAATTTTAAGAAGGTTGGGTAATTCATGTCGAGAGAGAATGTATAGCATGGTCATGTGATTTGCCAGAGCCATTATAGAGCCACTTCAATCAAGCCGGTGATTTCGCCATTATGATCTGTGTAAGTCAAAGTGTGATATGATTTTTCTTCTACCTCTCGAGTAGTGTGCTTTGGGATCAAAAATGGTGCGCCATGGTGAGCTGGGCACGAAGGAGAGTCAAGCCTGTATCTGTTCTGGGAACTGTCTGGGCGGCAGAACTCCCAGGTGTGGAAGCAGCCGAAGCGCAGTCACAATAATTAGAGGGTCATTCGGGGCATAGCGGTGGCGGTAGGGTCAAAGGCTGAGCGAACTGAGATGGCTGGTTGCTCCATGTGAGCTCTCTCCATGCTTGGGTGATGTCAAGCAAGCTGAAACCAGTGTTATGCTTTGTGCTTGTTCTTCCTGCTTTTTTGTTTGCTTGCAAAGTTTGTGCTCTGCAGTTTGGCCAGAAACAACGGTGCAGTGGCTGTTTAGGTACCTTTCAAGTGCATATCGGTTACGCTTCATAGACAAACTTTGTCGCTCTCTGTCTTGCAGGATATGTGTCAATCTTCATGCGGTGCCTCTCCTTTTACCGCAGAAACATTTTTTTCTACACATTGATAGAAGAGGACATCCCCAATTTCTATATGTCTGCCACACAATTGCAGTGGCCAGTCAGCCACACTGCTTCTATCATCCCTGTTTCCAAAATCCACCACTTGGAGTAGTATTTCATTGGTTCCCTGACATTGACACAGAGGGTTTATACTTACGCTGTAGCCTGCTTCTTTACTTATCTCTTTAGCATCATGGTGCACTTTAGCTATACAAGTGCTCTGGAAATGTGAAAAGAAAGCTGAGGCATGAAGCTGAGGCAGGTTTTCTCTGTGGTTCCTTGATGTTTTACAGTACTTATTTTTTTTATAGCTAGGACATCTTACCTCTAAAATATTTGTTGCTTGTGCAGGGTGTAGGTTTTATGCGAAAGGTGCTAGTCATTTCGGCAGGCGATGTTTGCATGTATGAGTTGTCATTTCATCTGATTCAGCTACTCTGGCTCAGCAGCTGGGGCCCAGCTGTGGCTTGAGTTGGTAAATGTTCATAACTAAGTTTTGTAGTACACTAGATAGAATTTAAAAAATTTAGGCACATATGTGCTAGTATTTCAAAGATGTGATAATCAAATTTTTTCAATGATAAATTTAGAGAGGCCTTTTTTTTTTTAAGGCTGACTTTAAGTCATCTTACTATCTTTGTAGTGATCAAAAGCACCCAGCTGCCAGTGTCTTATAAAATATGATTGAAAATTCAGTTTATTTTTTTTTGCTTGAATATGCAATGTCAAGGATTGGTTGCCAGCAACCAACCATAATCATGTTATATGTAGCATGCACTTGACGTCATCTGCGAAGAGCCCTAGCGACGGGGTCACCATATTTCAGATCCACGCACTCTCTGCACGCACTGTGTCTGAGATGCGTCGGGGACTTGGACGACTAGAGACTACCAGAATTCCTCCTGCATGCTGACGCACAGACAGCATAGACGGCGTGTACAAGGGAACCTGCAAAGTAGTGCAGCGGTGGTGTGGCCGCATTTTTTATCAAAGCTCAGTGCATAGGCCTATAGCTATGCCTCCTAGTTAATATTTTTTTTACGTATGGAGCACAGCTTTCATTAGTCGAATAACTTTTGTTTGGACAATGTTATCTACATGAAGATTACTTTCTTTGTCTCCACAAACTAAAGGAACTGAAACGAAGTGCAAGAACGTACAGGGTGTTTCAAGAAATGTGTTCCTCCCCCCAATTTTTTTTATACAGGAATTGGGATACTTGCTTGCTGCCTTAATAATTTTTTTTCATGTGAGGGCAAACATGTTAAGATATCAAGAAATATTAATGGCTGTGTTGATTAAAAAATAAATGAAAACAATGAACTTTTTCAATTAGAGAAGACTGGCAGTTGAGTTTAATAGGAGCATTGAAGGTATTCTTGCAGAGAGCCCAGCATGGCTTTGCAATTTTAAAAAACCAGCCACTGGTCATTTTTGTGTAGTGATAAAATGTGACAAAATTCATTAACAAAACCGACGTGCCGAAGAGTGCACCTGCCATAACCCAGGAGACTCCCAGAGTAATAACACTGTTTTGAACAACAATTGCTGTGGTGTTGGTTCTTCTGAATTCATTAACCCACAGGTTCCGAGCATGCTATCATGTCAAGCACAGCCGTTGGACCCATAAAGTGAAGTAGATTTGTTTTTTTTTAATCACATTCACTCACTAATTGTAATTGTCTTGGATGAGTATGGCGTTTCTGCTTTTCAGCATTTTGGTTTGGCCAGCAATACTGGTCGGATTGCATCACTTGGCAATTACTAGCAGGAATCATTTTAAAATCTCAAAGCGATAATGGGTTCTTACCAGGAGGGACTTTCAGTTCTTCCATTGAAACTGACCACCTGCCTCCTCTAATTTGAATGTCAGTTTCTCTATTTTGCTGTCATTGATGTCTCTAGTCATGTTAAATATTCTGCCACTGTATAAAAAGTAACTATTAGCCTATCTCAAAAATATCGGGACACATTTCAAGGAGCACACGATATATAAATGTAGAGGGCAGCTATATTCAGCTCCACAAGGCTAAGGCAACTTTATTGCTTTCTTCATCAGAGGTGGTTTTTCTTTTTTTGCACTTGTTAGTGTTATGGTTGTGAATGATGTATTGGTGAACCTAAAAATGCTTTATTTACAGATTACTGCTTAAAACGTGAAGTTTGATGGTTATGTGAGCATAGCAATTTCATATGTCTGCACGATCCTTTTGGAGCAGTCACTCTATAACATTGTGCATGTTTCATCATTTACACCAATTGTGGTACCTTAGCAACCATAGCATAGGACTACTCAGCATGAGGTCGCATGTTCAATTCCTGGCAATGTTTCGATTGTGGCAAAATGCAAAAATGGGTGTGTACTTTAGGTTTAGTTGCACATTAAATAATTTAACCAGGTTGTCTAAAATAATACTCTGCTACAGTGTGCCTCATAATCATATTGTGATATTGGCACACAAAACCCTTGAACTTGCTATATAGTATAACATATATAGCATTCACATGATTGTGTACTACACACTTCACAACGTTACGAAAATGATAAAAACATTGCCCTTACTTAGAAATTTGTAGAGAGAAATAGAAATGGGTAAAGAACTTCAAGAATTCATTCGTACTACGTTGAAGATATTCTTGACATTTCAAATGCTAAGTGTTTAGTTATTGTAATTTGAGCACGGTGCAAATTTAAATCACAAGTGTTATGTGCCTTTAGATTTACATCTGTATCTACCTGTTTATGTGATTTGCAAAAGTTAAGAGTCTACCATTTGTCGTCTGTGTTTCAAAATAAGCTTTTGTCAATTATAGCAATTGCTCTTGTAATTATTTAAAACTTCTTTAGTCATTCCTTTCTTTAATTCAGCCTGTATGTGACATGCAGAATTGTGGCCATACATAATACAACCTATTCCCTCAAGATTTGAGATGTCTGGGTACTCGAGTCTCCCCATAAGAGAGCACTGCAACATAGCAAAGCAGTTGTGGCTTTGGCGGTGTGTGATTGTGACAAAATTCAGTGCACTCCATTTCATACTGAAGTGTAGTGCTATGGAAGATAAGCGTTGAGATCTGTCATCAAAATATGTCTCCTTTGCATTTTGTGGTCTAGTGATCTTAAAACCCAATTTTCACCAAACTGTGAATCAAAAGGGCATGAGTTTCACAGCATATAAAGATTTATATCAAGATAGATTCAAGTTTGTGGAACCAAACTGCAGTATATTGGTATAACTGTCAGTTCAAGCGCATGAATAAACAGAAAGGAAGAGAGGACAAGCGCTTTCTTGCAACTAAACTGTTTATTAGAAAGGGCAGAATATATATATACAGGCAATTAAAAAAACAACGCATGTGTGTGCAACGCAACGTGCGTTTTCGCACGTGTCCTCACGCATCATAAAAGGTATTTCTGAGGCTATATGTGTGAACTGTGAAAAAGTAGGTGCAGGCACTGGTAATTTTATAAGCAGCCTTTACTACACGCAAACAGCATTGATGTGGTGTGACTGCTTTGAACGGCACAGCATTTCCGGTTCCCAAGTTGAGCGTGCCTGCATTCCTACGTACCTTTTGTCAACCCCTTGGAGCTGTTGTATAAATGTTGTGAAGTGGAATAGCATATTGTTTTTTACATGCTGAAATCGCTGATGCATGTGCCTCTACAGAGGTTGGAGGAATGCCTGCAGAGCCATCCCCTATGTTATTAGAAACAGTTGTAAAGTACTGGCAAAAAAAAAAAAAAAACATAGCAAAAAAAAAAAACTATGCAAGTCCATCATTCTTTACCAGATTTGCAAGTGCAGAGCAATTAACATATGATGTTCATATCAGCACAAGACATTTAATGTTTTAGCATTTTTCTTTTTGTATAATATAAGCATGCTGCTGCTTTCTTGTTCATGTAGGCTGTGTGCAATTTCCTTATACTTTCCTCTACAAGTGTGAAACAAAACGTGGAGTGAACTTGGTCACATTGGAAATTCTAGTGCATTTTAATGAAAATTGAGAGTGTTGTTATAAGGGTAGTATGACAGCCGCATGTGCGATTCCTTATTTGCTATATTGTTGCCCGTCTACTGGTGTTGTAGGCCTTGTTTGTACGTAATTATGTTACTGAAGTTTGAATTGCTGAGCAGGTACATGCACACGTTACATTTCGATACTTGCGGCTTTGGTTTAATTTCATAGTGATATAGAATGAAAACTTTACAATTTGGGGTTACTATAGGTCTCTTGAGCTAAATATGAGCAAAAGCATTGGCTTTGTTAAAATTTAGGAAAAATGGCACAATGTGCAATTTTCTTTTTTTTTGCTGAAGTATGGTTTAATTGCAGTTGCTTTAACTAATATTTCATGCTGGTGCATTTACACTGTTATGTAGCCCTTCTGTCAAAATGTGCAAATGGTTGAGTTAAACATTTACATTCAGTTAAGCATTTAAATATTAACCTTTTCTAGCCCATTGGGAATTTCATGGCATATCTGAATTGTGAATCCAAATGGAATGCTCAGGAGAAAGAAGCATCAGTTTGTACATTGTGTGGCCATCTGGCAATAATTCATCTTTTAGATATTTGCAATATGTCTTCTGAGAGGCAATTTTGGAGCCGTTTGTGGTAAGGCCCTTAACAGAGTGATTGAAATATAGATTTTTTATGGCCATTTTTTCAGCACAGTTTTGATTGTTATTTAATTATGTCATTTGTAAACTGCTGCGGTTGGTGAATCACAGCGCAACACAGGGACGAGGATGGTCGGAAGGACACACAAAGCGCTGCTGTGGCTAGTGAAACTCCAGTGCCAGTTTATATCCACGTATCTGCATTGACTGTGGGAGATGAACATATTCATATTGCTGGTGCTACTCTTCGCGTTCAACAGAGACTTCAGTGGTTGCACACAACAGGCAGAACTTCTTGGCAGGTAAATTAAAAAAAATCCAAATGAAATGTCCTAAGCCTAAACCATTAGTTGTTGTCCACAAACCTGGTGATTGGGAGAGACATTGAGTGGAAACATTGAAGCTGCTGTTTTACAGTTTAATGGCTAAAAAAAAAGCTTGGATTAAATCATGATCTTTATGATTGCATTTGCAGTGCCCAGATAGCCAAGAATCATACCGAAGTCAACAACTTCAGACAATTTCTTGTGGTAGTTTGTTGTCTGAGAGGCTCTTAGAAGTTAAATCTTGGCTGTGGGTTTTAGCAAGTGTTAAATCATTAAAAAATGTGTGTGAGTGTTTTCTTTTGTCTGTGGCTCGAAATTTTATAAATAGTTGGTGTTGTGGAAAATAAACATGTCACCACTGCTTATGTGAGAATATAAAAAGCGATAATGCACAATTGGCTTCTGCGAAGAAATGGCGACTTTATCGAGCTCACATGTAGCATGAATTAAACAATTTGGTTGTATGCAAATGTGTTAAGGCTAACATTCTGTGTTTATGAAGGCTGAGAAACTTCATTTTAGTGGTACCTACTAGTTCTGCTCTCTCCCACTGTCATTTTTGCCATGATTTATAGTCATATTGTGTTTTGGTATGATAAAATGCACTTTAGATTTAAAATTTGCATAATTACATATACCTACTGTATTGCAAATATATTTAATCTGGCCATTTTCATCTAGCAAATTAGCAATGCTGTTGCACCCAAGTGATGCCAGCCTTACTAATGCCCATTGTAAACTTCTTGCAAAAATGTACACCAGCTAGCAGATAGTACTTGCTCAGATGAAAACCCTGTTAATAACACTTTTGACATAAGCACTATGTTAAATTAAATACACCATACACTATAGTTTCAGCTGTTTATTGCTGTTTTATAGGTACACACAGTGATAATTTCTGATACCGGTGTGACATGGGTGTTTGGTAAGCCTTCGAACAAATAGTGTATTGACTCGATGTTTAAGCACCACCTGCTACACAAGATGTTACAAAGCCCATCGAGTCAATAGTTTCTCGAGTCAACAGGGCACCCTTCAACTGTGTCAAAACTTCACTGAGCGACGGACAACAGCAACGTGTTTGTACGTATTCATTGTACCGTTTGTGATGTCTCATTCGCCACAGTTTCGCAGTTAACCAGTATTCGTAGCTATGAATAAACAGTTCATTTAAATGTGTAAACAAATACGGTGGACATATCCATGCTTTCAAGGGGATTTACCTTATTCAACTTTTGGTGACATGAATACGAAGATAAATAAGCAAAGTGCCACACAGTTTTTGCGGGAAACGTCTGAACATTTCAATGGCCATTCAAAACAGCCATGTACTACCATAACTCCATCGAATCGATAGAGTTGTGGTGTTTCAACCGCCATCGACTGGATAGCCTTTCAAAAGTGCCCATGTGAATTGGGTATAAAACAATGTGATGCACACACAGAAAAGTTTTGTAAAGTGTTAAAAACTAATTAAATACCCTTCACCAACATGTGCTTACAATACAGTGGAATCTTGGTACGTTTTTGCATCATACGTTTTCTGATAAAAAACTTTTTTTTTCCTGGTCATTGTTTTTTTCAGTGTGTTCTCATAGGATCAGTGTGATGAGAGTTTTCACCTGAGATAAAATTATACTGCTGGCAGAAGTGGTATTGGAACAAACAGCAGAACAACATGCCTTAGTAAGGACAGTGCTGTGTCTGTTGTCTTTTCAATGTTCTGTTATGTAGTGCTGTTTGTTTCTGTTTGTTATGCACCCAATCGGCCCAGTTCACTATCCTCATGCTGCAGAAGGGGACTTTCACTGGCATTTCTGAAACTCATAGCATGGTATTCCTAGCTTTAATGACATTCTATTGATTCATGAACATGTTACACACCCAAAGCTGTGCAGAGAAATCCCCATAGAGAGAGAGAGAGAGAGACAGCCACACCTCTAGCTCGAAATTGTGCACAAACGTTGCTAGTCAGGTCATCACTAAGTGCAACTATTTTCATACTACCTTTCAAACTTCTTTTGGATATTGTAATGTTTGGATTATGTTTTATTTTCGGGTTTCTGTAACAGGAAGAAGAAAAGAACACCCATGTGCACAAACTGCCTGATATGTTTTTAGTGCAACGTGAATATAAGTATACGTATTCTATTACAGTTCTGATGCTATATGCATGAACTACAGCCAAACACTTTTCTAACTTGGTATGCTGTGCAAATGGACACGCCGTCAGTTTTATGAAAGTGACCAACTGTTTTATTATGTTTCCTGCTTGCGGTGCAATTTCTGCATTTTATTTAGAATATTTTCAGGGTTTTTCATAGCCACTTCAGTTGAGATAAAGGACTTTTTTGAAAAGCTACGTGCCCAAAAACTAACAATATTTTGAATAAGCAATAAACCAAACCGAAACACCACATTTTTAACACAAACATTGAAACATGAGCAGGCCTCAGCACCAAGAAACTTTGTCACTTCAAGCGAGCCAGTAATACATTTTTGCCTTCTTGTGGGGACATTAATGGCTGACTAACATATTGTGGGCCTTTCTTATATATTAATATTCCAAACTACTATATCCTTCATCGAGCTATAGTGCTCCATTAACCTAATATTCAAACATTGTTTAGTCTGCCTTATGTACTTAAAGTCAGAGAAAAAAAGGATGAAATAGACATCTTGTCTTAATGTTTGTATCTCAAGCCATATTTCACAACAGTTTCATAAGTTTCTTTAATCTTGCTTGCAGGAAATGTAACATAGTTCTTTAAACTTCAAAGCCACTTTCTTAAACTGATGCATGATTGAATGCTTTCAAGAGATTGCAGTAGCTCATTGTACAGGCTCCTTAGAATTTTTCTCGACATGTTGAAAATTAAGTTCTCTAATCATGTTGTCACTGGCCAAGGAAATGACAAGTTCATACTTGCTCCATTTGTTCAGGGTCCTTGATTTTAACTTGTCCTCAGGAGGTGAGCACAACATTTAGTCAGTGTGGCCGACGGTTCTTGCAAAGCATAACGCTGCACTTTTTGTAGCACCATTTATTTTATGACAAACAGTACAGCTCAATTGTTCTTCAATTTTGTTGTGCAAATATTCGTATGGATAGAGGATAATAGTAGGCGTAAAGGGTGCTGGCGACCACTTGACAGTTCTGTTTGGTACAATAAGGTGCGGGTATTGTCTTGCTATAATGTGTGTGGATGGCAGCAGTGAACACATATTGGGCCTGCTAGCTTCCAGTAGGTTTCCAGAAACTCTAAGCATTGAGTGCAGCAGTGTTTATAATTTCTGTAAATACGAGCCTCCACCACTTTTTCCATTGGGTGAAAATTGTGAGGTTACACGTAATTTGATCATGAAGATGAATTCCTCCCATGCCATTGCAATGGCTACTGACGAGTTTTGGCAGTGACACTACATTTTTATTTAGTGTAGGTCACCATCTGTTCCCTCAGCACAGTGGCTAGACCATGTAGTAGTTCGTTGTCATAGCAACTATGCTATTGTCTTTGTGTTTTATGAAAAAATCATAGTTTCCTGGATCGAAACAGCAGCAGTACTCTGCGAGGTTTTCGTTCAATCTTCGTTATTGCTGGCTGAGGGCATGCGTTCGTATATACCATCGTCATCCCTCTTCCCTCTTCATCTCTTTTCATGTTATGGTCAGGAGACACACAGACAAAACAAATGAGCAGTCATATATCAACACTGACATCTGTTGCAGCCTCGTAAGCCTCAGACAACTAGGAAATTTGCATTCTTCTGAAGAAAATACTTGGTTCAATTTTGGAGGCAATATGCATCAAAATGTTCATATAAGCACCCGCAAAACCCCAGTGTACTATGAAAAGTATACCAGCATTTCATTTCTCTTCAGGACAAAGCTATGCATTCTAGCTGATTCTTGCACTTTATAGCAATTATTTTGTTCCATTTTGAGCATACTCATTTCATTCTTTCAATATATAAAGCATAGAACTTAGAATAATTTAGAAACTATAGTACACATCATGTGCATTTGACGTGCTCTCGTTTTCAGAAAGTTCAACAACATGTAGCACGGAAAAAAAAAAGAGACCCTAGCCAATATGGGGGGGGTCAGAAGTGTCTTGCTGCAACCTCTGGCTTCGAAAATACTAATCAGCAAAATCAGATTATTGGATTGTGTATTTCCTATTCATAAAAAATTAAGTGTATTTTTTAAAGTGCACTGGGTACAGATTGGTTAATATCCTTGTGTGAAATGGTCCTTTCAGCAAATTCAAAATGAAATATGTATGCATCCCAGTAGAAGTAGCTAATCTAAAACATTGACTCTGAGCTTTGTGCTGTAGCCCTATTTTCTCAGGCTGCAGTTTTTTTTTTTTTTTCGAGACAACCTATGTTTATCTAAATTCAGGTCTCGCCTTTTTTTTTTCCATAAGCAATGCATGTTACTTAAATATCTTTATTTTTTATTATCATGGGTTCTTGATACTAAACTTGCATGTGCCTTTAGCGAATTGATTATTTTTGAATAAGTTTTTTTTAATTTTCATTGTGTATTAGAACTCTGCCACAACTGCTACATGGCTGTGAAATATAGTTACTGAAATTCATAAATGTAATGTTACAAACTGGAAATTTTTTCACTTCCTTCAAAATCAGCCGAGTTATAAATATTTGTGGTTAAAGTCCACTTGTTTTGAAAGGAGCATTTCTGTGATGTAAAGCTCGAGCTCTACAGCTCCCATTTCTGATTCAATGTTGAGGCCCGACTTGCATGCGACTGGCATCTGTCTTTAATTGACAATATTTTTCTTGTACTTTGCTGTTCTTACATTTCACTTAACAACCTCCAGTTTTGGAACACCAGTTGTGTAATATCTCAGGAAATGCTGTTCTATGTATTTGCGCTTGATAAAATCATTCCACTTTGATTGGACAAATGCTATTGGATTTAGAGCAGTTATGTTTAAATTTTGATGAGGCAAATGTGGAACATAATTTTGTTGGTTTGATCTTGTCATGTTTGACATAGCTTCCCCCCCCTCCCCCTTTGTTTTTTGAAATAGTGGCTGCTTTTGAAAAATACACTGTATATGTAAGAAATAACACATTTTTAAGCTGATAAGTATTGTCATGCCTTGAAATGTACGTTCAGTGTTTCAAGAACTGCTTTAAAGAAGACATTTTCTGTAGCATATAATACCGAGACATAACTTGCAACTTAATGGTCACATATTGTTAAACGTATGTGAACATTTAGCCTAGTTATACTGATGTTAAAGATATAATTAAGTATCCTTTGCACTTTGGATTCTCATGATGTACTTCCATGCAATTTTTTTTTCAGCTGGTATTGTTATCACTTTTCGTTTTATTATGTGTGTCTATACAAGGGTCGATAAATTTATTTGTCATCACTATTTCCAATAGATATCTTGTGGTTGCTAAGGTTGTATTATCAAAGATGAGCAAACTGGAAATGGGAAGATCTAAACCAGTATACTTGTACTAATGATCACTCAAGGAGCACAATTTGCAGGGCTGGTGCAGAATGCACAGTGCCTGCAACATTCGGCCACCCTTATGCAACATGTTTTTTTAATTATTATTGTTATTCTTTCATGTCCGTGTATGTGCTCTTTTCTTTCACCGAAGAAAGCATGCCAGTAGTGTTTTTTTTCTTCTCTTTTTTATGTGCATTGATTCTTGAATACGAATGCTAGAAAAATGTCTGTGCAAAAATTGGGGAAGAAGTGTGAACACTCAGATTTATGGTTGTTGAAACTTTGCTGCAGAATGAGTAATAATTTATTCAGCTGCACATATCTGCCTGCCCCCAAGCTACAAAGCTTCTGGATGATTAACCATTCTGCTCTGTCTGGATCTGTGTTTCATATTGAGCCGTACAGCTTATAGGGTGCACGCTAATATGTGTGCAAAAACAGCAGTTCGCTTTTACTGAAATTTTCTCCACCTGATTCTTGATGTCTGCACTGCATTGCACCAAGAATTAGCAATCCATCCTTCATTACATTTTATAGCCTCGGCAAATTATCATCATACTTAGCTTTTGCACTCTAAAGCAACATATCGTAAGGCAGTTTTTAAAAATTCATCAATAACTGCTTCATGAAGTTGTAATGCTATCTACTTGTTTTTTTTCTGCTTTTATTTGCAC